GCCCACATATATGATCCCGACGGCATTCCTGTGCGTAGATTCATTTCCCCTGAGCAAGTCCCGCAAGCTGGACCGCGGCCAGCTCCGCAGCATGGCCGCTGCACTACCCCGGGAGGCATACCTCGATGCGCCCACCCTGCAGAAGCGGGAGCCGTCCGGCCCAGCGGAAGAGATGTTGCATCGGCTGTTTGCGGACACTCTGAAGATCGACCCCGCGGAGTTCGGCATCGACCATGACTTCTTTGGGCTGGGCGGCGACTCCATCCTGGCTATGGGTCTGGTGGCGCGGGCGCGAGCGCGAGCGCGTAGCTTGGATTTCACCGTGGCGGATCTGTTTGCCCATCCCACGGTGGGCGCGCTTGCTGGGCATTTGATGCGTTGTGGTATTTCGTGATGGGTCTGGTTGGATGACCAGGTAGATTTAAATGATGTTTTGTTGGGAACGTCCAGCATGGCATTTGGCATGCTGGAGTTGGATAATCAAATCTTCACCTGATGTTCAGAAACATGTCTCAGAGTATGTGTGCAAAAGTCACACCATGTCCATCGCCGTGCAATGCAAGGACGTGGATTCGAGATTGCGCTCTGGGTTCTCTTTAGAAAATACATCTGATTGATCTGCCCGTCATGTGTGAATGCCGAGTACTGGTACTGCTCGAGAAGGTGGAGGGAGAGCTACCAGTGCTTTAGGGCCGTATCAGGCAAGAGGGATGGGCGTCTTCGTATGGTCATTTTGCCGCATCTTCGCATATTTCGAGGTTTCGAGCATGTTTACGGAGTATTTCTATGTCTCTTGGACCGATGCTGTGAAATGAGGCTTCCAGATAAGATGCCATGCCCCCTCCCCAGCACACGCCACCGATCGCGCTAAACTGGATTCGAAGCTGCCGCTGAGTCAGCGGGACCCACCTCGCTCCCCATTTCTAGTATAGAATGCATGGGCAGTCTACGTTAAGACAGAGGAGCGTGGATTTTTCTGAGTTAGCGTGGTGGGACCTTCTTCCGTGGACTGCGAGAGAGTAGTGTGATGTGTTGGTTACTGTATCTCGAATGCTATGTATGGGTACTGGGTTTGAGGCTGATATCTACAGTGTAGGTATAGTGGCTACCCGTCAATGACTGAAGATACTAGCCAGAAAAGACCCTATTGATCGAGAAAGGAAACTTGATGCACACGATAGTATACACACAAATCAAAGACGAGAGCTCTACACTTGCGTCCAACATGACCAGTCTTATCAACATTAATCCCCGGCACAATGGGATTCCAGTCTAGTACCACAGAGCCTTGTTCCAGAACACGCTGCGGGCATTGGCCAAATCGTCCTGGGTCAGGTACATGGTGCTGTTGAAGACGAGCTGGGTGGCGGTGTAGGAGCCGTTCAAGTACTTGGGCCAGTAGAGCTTGTCATCCGCCCACTTGGTGTTGGGGTTGCCGGTGAGGACGAAGGAGAGGAGGTATTTCTGCATTTTGCGCTGTGGGGCGGGGGGGGTGAATTGTGTTAGTCGGGGGTGGGGGGGGGTTTGTTATAGGTAAGGATGATAGGAGGAGGTGCGGTACGTACTGCAACGGTGGAGTCGACGTCGGAGTCGCTGGAGATGGCGACACCTGCCCCAGAAGAGGAACTGCTGCTGCTGCTACTACTACTGCTGGAAGAAAGCGAGTACGTAGAGTACCCTGTTACAGTATTTGTGAGTATCCAGTTTTTGTGAGGGCCTGGGGTTTCTCGGGGGCTGTTGGCGGAACTTACAGTAGTAGCTTTGGTCGGTGCCGTGGGTAGCCTTGCTCAGGGCGACCATGGCATTCCAGGTGTTGTTGTTCATGGCTTCAGTGAGGGCGAAATTGTGGGCCGTCAGATCGAACGACTGTCTCATGTCTGCGAACCGAAGAGCCTGACTTGAGTAGCTGGAGGCAGGGTACAGCTTGAGGGCCTCCTGGATGACGTTGTCGGTGATTGAAGGGAAGAAGATGCGGAGGTTCGTGATGATGTCCTGCTCGGAGGAAATGGTGGTCTCGCCCTCGTCGGTTCCCGTGTTGGCTTCGTGCTGCTCGTGGGAGATGACCACGGGACCGCTGAAGTTGAAGTGCTTCTGATACAGCTGGGCCTCGTACGTGTCCGCCACAAAGTCGCCGTCCACCCGGGGCTGGAACTGGTAGTCGTAGGCTTCGTAGACGTCGTTGGCGGCATCGGTCAGGTTGGTGAAGGCAACGCTGCGCAGACAGTCCAGGTCACCGCCAGTGCAGCCCACAGCCTTGGAGACGTTCTGGTAGAACGCTTCTCCGTGCTCGTGACCAGCGCCGGGGACGAAGCCCGGTGACATGATGTAGGCACGGCTAAAGAGCTGCTCGGCATGGCCGGCGAAGCGGGTCATCTGGAACAGGGGCATGGAGCCACCGGCCGAGAAACCGACAGCGGTGATTTCATCGGGATTCCCCCCAAAGGCGCTGATGTACTTGTGCACCCACTTGAAGGCGTGCTCAACGTCCCACAAGGCAGTATTGGGAGTGCCACCCTGGTGGGCCAGGGAGGGGCCATTCGCCAGGCCAGTGAATCCAAGACGATAGTTGGGCGCAACAAAGATGAAGTCTTTGGAGAGATCAAATAGACCCTCAGGCGTATTCTGAGACTTCGATCCTGCGGTGAAACCACCTATAGTGCAGGTTAGCTAAAGCAACGGTGAGGTAGCGCCAAGCGGAAGATCATACCGCCGTAGGTCCAGAGCATTACAGGCAGGTTGCGGCCTTGAGCATTAGCTGGAGCCCAGACATCCATGTAGAGACAGTCTTCCGTGGATGCACAGTCTACGTCAGATTCGGCAAGGCTGCCATTGTTCATGGCGGTCTCAACGGGAGGCCATTGCGGCTTCGCGAAACGAAGGTCACCAGTAGGTACCGCGGCGAAACGAACATTCTGGTACTTGTAGTAACCGATCGAGCTGTTTCCAGCAGCAGGCGCGAGGGTGCAGTAGTCGAGAGTAACAGTGGCACTTTGGGACGATGAGGTGGCAGTAGGAACAGCAGCAACTGACGCTGCTGTGCCTATCAGAAAGAGTGCAGTGCTTAGCGAGCGCATGGCGAAATTACTTGAGGGGTGGTGAGATGAATGCTTTGTACCGTTAATGAGGAATGAGGGCTAATGCCCCCTTTATAGACCTGCCCAGGTCTCATGGGAATTAAGGAAAGATCTCAATTGTACCGACAGGATGAGTAAGCGGAAGTGCGTGCGAGAGGACATGAGAGTTAGGTCTGCTATAGACTGCATTCGTCATCGAAAAGGCGGGAAACCCGTTCAGTCCATGAGACATCTATACGGGTGATGGATACATAGCGGACACAGCGGAAATGAAGGCATGTCCACTAAAATTGACTAGGAATCCATAAGCATCGATCTTGGCCTCAACTCTAAGCTGGATTGAAATAGGGTTGACCCACATGGCAGACCCACGTTCCGCGTCTCTGCACGGAAGTCGACCAGGCGATGGAGTAATAAGAGTCGAAACCACGCGGCCGGTTCGCGCTGTAAAACAGCTCACTGGCTCTGGCTTGATTGCCAAGAATAAGAAGGTTGATCACCTCTGTCTTTACTGGTCAATCTGTATGATGAGCGGTTAAACACTTATACGCAGAGTCAAGCTCGTGTCTCATGGTTGGAGCCTGGAGATTCTTTAATCTCAATATACAGATTGCCTGCTCAGATGCCAGGTCTCGAAAACCGCAAGCCACGCAACGAATTCGTCACTACTCCGTGCCAGTGGAGATTCGCCTGGGAATGAATCGATTAAGCCCGGATTTCTGCCTGGGTTGTCTGGCCACAGGTAATTCACTCTTTCCGCTTCCGAATGTCAGTTTGGCATAGACAGAGCAGTTTAAATGAGAAGTGTAAATAGTCCTGCCTTGTCTCGCGAGGGAATAAAGGATATGGCCTTGTGACCAGAGTACAACTTGCATTCAGGGGGCAGCTTGCATGTACTGCAAGGGCATGATACTCTCTTGTTCGGCACAGGAGGATTATGCTGTTTTGCTTGACGATCAAACGGCCTTCGGCCATCCACCATCGATCCTGTACCATTGCCAGCCTTGTGGGTCTCTTGTGTCGGAGGCCAAGTCACAGTTTGGTCTAGAGGTCCCAGCTACTCAACACCCTTTGGAGCGCGTCTATGAAAGTAGGACTCCGTTATATTCCCTAGTTTGAGCATTCCAAGCTTGAGAATTTTCGGGTCGGTGTAAGATGGTCATTAACAGCCTCTCGTCGCCTATCTGCGTATTGCAAGAGAGAGTCCTCCGTCAGATAGGCTAGGCCCGTGACATAGAGCCATTGTCTGGTGCAGATCACGAAGAGGCATTGCATTAGAGTTGAGATGCGACCTTACTGAGCTTGGTGAGTGTAAGAAGCTTAAAGAATCGTTTCGTGTCGTTGCTGCTTTGCAAACATAGGACCCGAGCATTGCTATGGCGATCCTCAAGCCTTCGGGTAAGTGAAAGCGTAGAGCTCTGGAGTAGAGATAGGACTGGAATATTGACAGAACAATAACCAGAGCCTGATTTGATTCAAGATTCCTCAGACATCCTTTCTATAAGTGAAGTCGAATAGCAAGTTGACAGTGATTGTGCTGTATACTTCGTGCAACGCACCTGGCCAAGTCCCGCACGATCAACGATCACCGGAGAAGTTTCCGAGAGCAGTGGAGGTGAGGAGCACGGCGGGAGTTAGACCAGCCACTCACAGCCACTCCCCATCAGCCACCGATGACATATGACGATGCTCCGCACCGCCACCCAGGCCCGATAAACCGATGGTATCAATGCAGCGTGTGCCTGTTAACTTATTATCGGGTTCGATCCCCGCTCCTTAGCTACAAAGATAGTGTTTTCCCGCAGCTTTTCTCTAATCCCGGTCATTGATTGAATCCTTTCAAACTGAATTATACCTCTACCCTACGCCTTCCCGACATTACAGTATCTCAAGCAAAACCGTCGTCACCGAAGAAAGCAAAACAGTATGGTCATCGGTCTCCTCATCCTGTCCGCCATCCCCACCGTAGCGGGGGTGTCTCTCGCCTCCAACGAACAGCGGAAAGCCAACGAGCGCAAGAACGACGAGCGTCGCATGGCCAAATTCTACATCGATGTCGCCGCGCCGCCGTACAATATCGAGGATCCCGAGGTACATGGCAAACGGGTGGTTTTGCGGGATTTCAAGGTAAGTCATCGGGAGTGGGACAGTTCTGCCTGGCTGGTTTGCGCTTGTCTCTTCTCCGCACCAACGGTCTCGCGTCGTCGAGGTCTCTGAAAGGGCTCTCGCTAATATCTGCTCTTTGTTTCGAATAATTAAAAGGTCTTTCTTGATGACCCCGACCCCACGAAACGAGATCCTCCCGCGCATACCGCCCAGGCGTTCTACATCGAGTACCCGGAGTTCGATCATATGAAACATCTGAAGCGCGGGCTGGGGGTCGCGACGACTATCTCGGACAATCCGCCCATGTTGGGGTGGATCTATGCGGACAAGGATACGCATGAGCTCAAGTATGGGAACCGGACGCAGAGTTGCGAGCATGTGATCGGGCCGTGGGATTGGGTGGACGATGAGACGACCTTGACGCTAGAGGGGAGCCGGCAGTTTGTCGCGGTCAAGGAAGACGATGGCTCGTGGGGGGTGTACTTCGACCGGGACGGGGATGAGTTGGAGGGGGTCTTGGAGGAGCAAGGGAAACTGGACAATGAGTATCTGTTGCTACGGCTGAAGAGGAATTTGATCGAGCAGCCTGACGATAAGAATAAAAACAATAATACATGAATATCTAAGAGGCCAACGTTGCGGTAAGGGTGTTTCGCGAGGTGGGGGGAATCGTAAGTGAGTACTAGTTTGATTTGTGAAAATTTTGCTTTTGGTACAGGAACATGCCGACTAGTCGTCGAGACCATCCCAGGCCTCGTTGTCGCTGGCAGCAGCATCTGCAGCGGCCGGTCGTGAGTCGGACTTCCTGGTCCGACTGGCTTCGATCGCGCCCTTTCTCTTGTTCTCCATCCGTCGTTCGTAACCACTCTTAGTGCTGATTCTCGTCTTCTTGTCCTCTTTGCCGTCCTTCTTGGATTGTCGGGCCTTGACACCGTGCTTCTTAAGCTCTTGCTTGCTCTTCTTGCTGAGGTCGGGGAGAGCGTCGAGCAACCACTTTTGTACAGACTTCTCCTCTGTGGTGCCCCGTAGTTTCTCACTGACGTCGATGACGTTGGCGATGCTCTTGACATAGGGAATATCTTCCTTGGTGTAATATGTCACGGCGATGCCACCTTCACGGCCCGCTCTGCCAGTACGTCCGACACGGTGGACGTAAACGGCGGCGGAATTGGGGATATCGTAGTTGACCACCCCATTGATGCCTCGGAAGTCAACACCACGAGCTAGCAGATCGGTCGTAACAAGAATCCAGATCTCGCCCTTGCGGAACAGTCTCATGATGTCGGACCGCTGGTTGTCGGACAGGTCGGAGTGAAGAACGGCAATGCGCGAGGAACCACCGGCTTCAGCAGGAATGTCGTAGCGCAGTTCGGAGTGGAGGGCAATGGCACGAGGAATGGTCTGGGTGAAAATGAGGAAGGGAGGTCGAAGACGAACATCTGAAGCCGCTGCTGCCGCAGGGTGGAGGAGTTGTCTGAGTCCCAGCAGCTTTCCTTGCTCTGTTGCGGCGTAGACCAGCTTGTGTTTGATATTCGGAATAGCGGAGTCCTTCAGTCCCACAACGAGACGGAGGAGGGGATAAGACTTGGTCGTGCTCAACATGTCTTTGCGCTCCTTAATAGTAGATTTGGCCAGGTCTTCGATGTTAGAGCCCATGGTAGCTGACCACAAGCTTGCCCGAAGTTCAGGGTGCGTGCATGCTCGCCAGATATCGAGCGTTTGCTCGCGGAACAGAGGGTCCAACAGAACATCGGCTTCATCCAGGACAATGTTCCTTACCAGAGGCAAGGTCGCCAAAGGTTTTGTCTTGTTTGCAGAGAGGGCATTGACCAACATCAATGGCGTCGTGACGAGGATGTCACTCTTGGTAACGGGGGCTTTCCCCTTGCTGCTCTTCTCCGTCTCTTGCTCCTCGTCCTCGGATCCAGAAGATTCCTCCTCACTCTGCTCATCCAGAACACCCTTAGCATCGTCACCCTCATCGTCGCGTTCGACAACGCGCATGCCCTTCTTCATCAGAGTAATCTTGACACCAGTTCCGAGCGCCAGTTTCCGTCCTTCATTGACGATCTGACTGGCAAGCTCCTTCGTCGGAGCAACAACAACAGCGAAGATACCACGCTCCTCCTGTTGCTGGTGATGGTGTCGGACAATCTTGTTAACGACGGGGATCATGAAAGACAGTGTCTTACCACTGCCCGTCGGCGCCACCACCAGAAGATCAGGCTCGACAGTGCCCGTCGTACCCGCCTTCTGGGCAACCGACTGATCCCCTAGCAACAGAGGCAAGCTCCCCAACTGAACCTCCGTGGGGACCGTGAACCCTTGCTCGGCGATGTTCTCCGCCAGCCGGCGCGAGATGTTGTACCTGGTGCGCAGCTCCTTGAACGAGACCAAAGGCTGCGGGAACAACTGGCGTGCCTTCTTCAGCTCCTTCTTCGTGAGCGGTTGAGCCGACGAGGAATTCTCTTTTTCTTGCTTTCTCTTCTTCTTTTTCTTCTTATTGGACTCGTCACCCTCCGCCGGCGGCACTGCCGCCGCCACTTGCTGCACCTCCTCCAGGTCACGCATATCCGTGACCTTGATCTTGTGGGTGTTCAAGATCGTGCGCCGCTGTACTTCACCCATCGACTCGCCCTCTTCCTCTTCCGACTCCACTTCCTCCTGCTCCTTCGCCGCCGCAGCCCGCTCCTTCTTAGCCGTCGAGGCAGAGCTTTTGCCCGCGCCGAAGAAGTCTAACCCCGGCAAGTCGTCATCATCATTCTCCGAATCCGACGCCTCGGCCGGCGCATGGGTTCTCTTGCGCTTTTTGTTGGCGCTGACGCCACCATTCTTCCGCAGCAGTTCCTCGGCCTCCGAGGCGTGGAAGAGCTGGGGGGTCTGCGCCTTGCCTTTAGATGGCAAAGTTGATGAAGAGAGGGTACTACTAGCGGTACCGGTCTTCAATTTGGTGGCTCTTGTCAAGAGCTTGAAGGCATCCATTTTTTGGGGGGGGGGGGCGGTCGCGCTTTTACAAGACCATGCGATTTGACGTTATTCAATAAAAAGGACTCAAGGACATGCGCGCTCCTTTTGTTTGCTCTGTTGTTATTTTGGGAAACGACCGTTGAAGTTGGTCAAGTTCCTCCGCGGCCTTTTTTTTATGGTTGTCCCGGAAAAAAAGTTCGATGTTCCAATTCTCCCGCACGGGCCAATCAGAGAGGGGCCTGGCCTCTCTTCCTGAGGCTTCAAGGTTCGCTTTCGGTTTGTCCAACACAGAACTTCACAATCGATTGTTAGTTTGTCCAGTTTGTCAGTTCTCCAGGACTGTGCTTAGTGGACTTGATGTACAGGGGGATACAGGGCAATTCATGATGATGGAATGAGATACGTTGGTGAGGCTAAATAGCTCTCATAGACACAGTACATCTATCGTATGGCGGTTATCTTTGTGGGCCCATCGCTCTTATCTCCTTGATATCCCTTCTGTGCTCGGAGTCCTCATTGCAGCCCAAACCTTCTTACGAGGACAGCCGCACTTTGCTGATCAGCAGGACTTTCACTTTCAAGAAGACACATAGAATTCGAAAAGATATCTAAAAACATTCGAGCGCAGGTGGAACAAGTCTATCTTCTAACCGGACGCACACGCTTCCAGCAAGGCTTTTGATACCCAAACACTTTTTGGAAACAAAAGCAAACATGTTCCACTGAGAGAGACAAAGAAAGAAACAAATACACCAGTCACCTCAGACAACAGTTGAATTCCATCGTCTATCATACAATAGTACAGCGCACAAAGGAAACGGGGGGGATTGTTTGTGTAAAAGGGAAGGAAGACAGGCTAAGGCACAACTGCGTGGTATTTATCTAATGGTGTCCGGCGTGCTCAGGCTCTCCCCGGTAGCCGATGATGTTCATCCGACCGATCATCTCACCCACGGTGAAGAAACCGATCACCTCCGCGGCGGTGACACCGGCGAAGGCGAGCTCCTTCTTGTTGGCGTTGCGGATCCGGGCAATGATGTTCGAGGGGGCGAAGGCAGAGTTCGTAGGGTTGCGGATCAAGGGCTCGAGGTAGGCCTGGAAAGTGGCGACATTACTAGATATCGGTATCAGCAACAATGCCTGTGGTGTTTCTCCTCTGGAAGAGCGCTTACGGAGGGGTCATGTTCTGTCCACGGAAAACCAGCTTGGCGAGCTCGAGACCGACTTTGCTGTAGTAGACGGTGGGGGGGATCATGCCTATATCGCGGAGGGAATTGATTAGCAATGGACAGATGGGACATGGTGTATGTGTGATATCCGGAGGCATCCTCTTCACATCCGGTTATGGCGAACCAGACTACCTCGCACTGACTGTCGTGCCACAGCAGCCAGGGAGAAAGAAGAAGGATATATAGCATATCACGGCGTGAGGTCAGGGGAGCTCGCTTACTCTCGACGAAAGAGATGACCTTTCCGGTTCTTCCACCAACCTTCTTCAGGGCGTTACCGAGACCCTGAGCAGCGTTGGTGATGGCGGGACCAGCCGAGGATTGAACACGAGAGAGGCCCTCAGAGGCCTTGGAGGCAGTGGAAGAAGCAGCCTCGCCAGCCTTGGAAGCGGCTTCCGAGGTGGAAGAGGCGTGTCTGACTGCGGTCCTGCGAGCCAGGAACTGCGATTGCCGGAGGACGGCACGGGACGCCGGGGCGGACATCTTGAAAACCCTTGGAAAGAAGAAAAGACGAGAGAAGAAGAGAGTGACTGATCAAAGTCGCTAGATGGAGGACAAAGGGGATCCAATGGCGGGTGGTTCAAGAGCCGGAGACGTTAGATCGTCGCGCAATTGCAGGACCAGAATCTGAGATTTGAGGTTCGGGAAGTTCAGGGAAGAGCCTCCACTCCCGCACCACGTGATCCATCACCTTTTATGACTGGTTTATACTCCGCCTTACACTTGTTGCATCACTTCAGAAACAATTGGCACTGATGGTATTTACTGAATGCAATTTTGAACTTCACGTCACTGGCAACGGTCATATAGTACTTAAGGCTCTATAGGTTAGCACTGATGAACTGGAATATGGTCCCTGATTTCAACACAGGGATAGTCTCCAAAAACTGCTTCTCTCCCTACCTAGTGGCCTTATAAAGAATTTCGCAGGGCTGTCGTTACTGAAAATCGAAATCGTGGATTCGGCGACCCCTAACCATCAGCCATTCAGTTCGATGCGACCGACCATCTCAATGGTTGAGGTGAAGGAAGGTTAGCTCACCTGTGTATTGGAACTGTATACAGAGGAACAATCTGCCAAGTTATCCCTCGCTCTATATATTGTGAAGACGGACTCGCCTTTGTTGGGCTCCTTTGCCCAATACTCAAGTCGACACATACAAGAAACCCAATCATTCGGCATTAGACCGTAACGGATCCATCGAAAGCTCTCTGGCAAATATGAGCTAAGACCTAGTACCAACAAGCGCTATTACACGGATGCTACATACCAGCTCCCTGCGAATTCGGTGTTTGCATCCAGAACAGACACTCTGATACTGGGACCCTTCTCCGACCAACTAAAGCTTACAAAGCCCTGCCATTGGTGTCCTGTTCTTGTAGCATAGAGCAGAATCTGTTCTCTTCAATATTATAGTCTAACCTTTGCTGTTTGTTGCTTTACAAGCTAGGCCCGTCTTTCATATGCAACACAACTGGACTCATATACCGTCCATCCTATCACCGATGCTACTTTGATGGCCACTTACCTCACTTAACCATTCAGTCAAACAAGCCTAGGTCAGCTTCGATGACCATAGACTTACAAACAACAGCATCATGAGCATGACTTCGTTACTTGCAATTTTCGATGGGCACGGTTTAAGTATTGTGGACATATCAATGATTTGGGTAGGATGTTGTCCCAGAAAATCCATTGTCGCGCCACGACTGCACAAGGCTGATCGAAAGCCACCTCAATACAGATTTTGCGACCACGCAAGCCACCGTGCAGAGAATCATGGATCACAGGGTCCAAGGAAGACTGACATGTCCCTGGCTAGCTAGTGTTGCCCACCTCGTTGGGACGATCAGACGGTCTTTCGATATGCCGCTTAGTCACCGGCTCGCCCCGAGGCCCCCGACATCGCACTGTGGCTGAGACTGATACTTACATAGTAGACTACTCCGTACGCGTCGGTCATTGGGGCTATACTTGGTTGCTGTGCTGCGCCATAAAATCTAGACTCCTATCAAGACATCGATTTTGCGCTCATGGATAGATACTGGTTACGATGAAACATCGGGCGACTGCTCCAAGGGTACCTCTAAGAGCATGCATACCATCCCCGTTGCCCCCATTGTCCGCATAAATCTATTTCCCCAAGCTTTCCACATAGTACGGCTCGACATTCTGGAAAGGGACGACCATTGGCTTAGCCATGCTCCTTTCGAAAGTCATCCGGTCGATCTACTGGTCTAGTAGGCTGCAGAAAAATGAGCATTTCCACTATACATCTTGGCAAATTTGCCGAGACATCCCTCATGCGAAGCTTTTTCGGGAGAAGCTATACCGCCAACAACCCCCCCTTTCCATGCATCAACACGGTGCTATCGCAATAGGTCACCATGCAGCCAAAACGGTATCATCTTGAACTACATTCGTGGGTTCTTCAGACCGATACGTCATGAAACGTTGGCGACAGCCACAATCATCCATGCGGTGGACAAATTGTCTGCCTAACGGGGTATACGTACGCCTCGATCGGATGGATCCACAACGACGACCCTCACCCAATTCTGGGCCGAGAAACAGAGATGAAAGCTGCGAAGACAACGCACCAATCTGGACATTCAAGCTAATTGAAGTATGGCTCGCTCCATCCGCGGTGTGGCGCGCCGTAAATAGTAGATGTCAGACAGCTCGCTGAGTGGACAACCTTATAGCAAAGATCCATTGATTTCCTCTACAACTTTCTCATAGTCCCCTTTAAATTGAAGCACGTTTCCTTTCCCTTTGCTGTGATTGTCCCTCTTCGTCCTAACTCACAACATCGCGCATACATACTCACACCGGAACAAGTTCTTGACACAATGTTCGGCGACAGTCTGTTCAGCTGGTTCAGCTCCTCCAAGAAGGAGGAAGCGCCCCAGACTACCTGGGATCCGAACACATTGACCATGGTCCAACCTCAGAGCCCCGAGTCTCCTTCCACCAACGCTGTTGTTGCTGAGCAGCCCGTACGTGTGATCACAAGTCTTCCGCAAGCGACTAGAGTACAGCTAACGCCATGTGACATAGACGCCCGATAACCAGATGAACATGCAGCTGCGTGGTGGCGGTCCTCCCCCTGGGCCTGGTGATGAGTAAGTTACCAATGATCACCGTATACCCTAAACTTTGCTAATATGCTAAATAGTTGTTGCTGCTGCCTCGACTGCTTCTGCTGCTGTGGGGACTGCTGCGGTCCCGATGGCCCCCCTGGTGGCTTTGGCGGCCCCGGCGGCCCCGGTGGTGGTCCTGGTGGTCCTGGAGGCCCTGGAGGCCCTGGAGGGCCAGGGGGCCCCGGCGGTCCTGGCGGCTGGTAAGAATGGCTTCGATGCGACAGCACTTTGCGTGCTCAACGTCGGTCTGAAACCGACTCACCCGATCTGTGATACCATATTGATTGTTGGTTCTGTGGCATGGAGGAAAAGAGGTTTATTGTCGGGTCTGGGGCCTCTCCTGTTATGGCCCAGAAGGCGAGATGGTTATGATGTTGTTCTACGTCTTGGTGTATCCTGTATGGGCTTTCGACGGTGTTTATTTCATTGCTGTATAGATATTCTAGACTGCTTGCAAGCGATTCGTTGGTCTTCATACGAACGTAACCTTGTCGCTTCATCTTCATCTTTTCTTGATCTCTTATCTACTTCCTGTGTTGGGTTCTTGGCAATCTTGCTGTAGTAAGCACTGGAGGGTCAACACTTGAAGTATTCTAGGGATGGAAGTTTCCGAAAGTAGCACTTGTGGAGAAGTAGGTACTTTGATGGTCACACAACCACGTACAGTTGTTCAAAGTGATGCTGACCAACTAGGACCAGATATTCGCTGCCTTTAACGGAGAGAAGTATCGTATAGCAAAATGGTTAAATTCAACTACTCAACCAAGCAGAATGCTTGATCTCAGCCAAGCATCAAAATCCCTATCGTCACAAATGTTAGCGTAGGGCTGCCATCTGACCCCAGGTATTTCGGCATTTGCTCGCACGAAAAGTACTGGTCCGGGTGAGAAGATGGTTAGGTTATATTTCAAAGTCGGTATCTCCGAGTAGCCTGCGGGGCCGATAGCGTAGTGAGCAACTTGTTGCGCGCAAAACACGGAAGGTCCTGCGTTCGAATCCTGAGGAGGGCGACGGTGGTTGTCCGGAAATCGGAATAGGTTAATATACCCCGCCCTGGGGATGAGAACGGCACTTTTTTTTCTGTTCTTTTCTCTCCATATTTATTGTAAGTTGTCTCTATATCTGCATAGAATTCGTACATATGATGGCAGTTCTCCTGTGGGAGGGGTTATGGCTGAGACCGATCGTTGGACAACGCGCTTTCGCTTGCCAGCGCGTTGTTCTTGTTCCCTGGCATGTTGCCTCTCTACTCCCTTTCAACTCGGTGCAACTATCCAGCAGCTCTCAACTAGTTTTGTTCCATTATGATTATCGCATGCAAAAATGGGCGAGTTCCTCATTGCCCAACTCACCGAGAAGACTGCCTACTTCTCTCCAGCTTCGTCGGTCGTGCTATCATGATCTGCTAGCACCGGTCCCGTTCTAGACCTCAACCAACTGCGGGAGAAACAGAAGCTCGGCGCTTACACTCTTTTGCACATTCATCGTTGAACACACATCCATCAACTCTTAGCAGAGCGACGAAGAAATCGTCTAGGAAAGAGCCCCATGATTTCTTGCGAGCAAGCATGATAGCGGAATCGAGACGGCAGGCTGCACACAAGCATGAAACCCGTCGATCAGGGTCTGCTTGTGGCTCGCAGACGTGTGGGATGTGGGAACCGTTGTTCAGAGGCGCCGAAAGGACGATGTAGACGCATGCAGTCTCTGGTTTCTAGCTTCGACGATTCGAGAACATGTGAGTATTAGTGGCCGAGGATGTCCGTGTGATGGACTAGTTTCTGACAATATGATAGTCTAGGATGTCATCGCAATCGCTTCTCGAGTCAAGTAGCAAAACAAGTTGAGCTCTTCGTCTCTTCGCCGCTTAGTTCGCTCGGATTATCTATTCTTCATATTGAAACTCCCGGTGCAAGGCTCAAAAGAATTAAGCCCGAGACATTGCCGACGTTTCATTAAAATGATTCGTAGGAGCATGCACTTCTGTCTTCCATCGCTGAGATTGCATTGAGTCGTTCGCGCTACGCACCCACCAAACGAAGACGATTTTGTCGGATCTGAATTCGAGGCATAGGCTCCCGTTCCAAAGGAAAGTGATGAGATCTAAGACCTGGGGTCTTGGGCTCACGAGGAGAATGCCAAGGTCAAGAGGTATTGCTGCAATGCTGTAAGGATATCTTTTACATTCGCGCTGACAGCAAGTTGATTTTCGCAGAACATGAGCACAAGAATGTCATGAACAACTCATAGTTCACGCGAATTACCGATCTTCAATACAATGTCTTACAATTCACCTCATTACCAGCTCGCCAAGGTCGCCTTTTATTAGCCCGAGTCGACAAAAGCAGGTGATTTGTGTGGTGGAAGAACAGTCAAGCATCACTCGCGGAGGACCCGTGCCAAGAAGACTGGGGAAGCAGGTTCATGCACCTGCATGTCTTGGAAGGCGGGGAAACCCCGGGGGATACCCGCAATCACTGAACTACACTGGCCACTCCGCCGGAGGACCTGCAGGGAACCAGACTGCTCCACTCTTGGTCCTGCACCATGTGCTCCTCCCCATGAGATCTCGGGGCAATTCATACCCGGCTCAGTCTGTACACAATGCCCCTTCACTTACTTGGCGGGCGGCGGGAAGATGGGGTAGTTCGACCATAAAGATACAGTGGTACCGTATTCAGTCCAATGATTCCCACTCAGACAGCAAGACTGCATTATGTTGGCATCTATCGTGACTGGGTTGGCTTTCGGCCTACTGTCGTCCGCCTCGCCGGTGGCCCGGTCAAAGCCAAATCCACCATTTCTGATCAATGTGGACGATGAAACGGCTATCCTTGGAAATGACTTCTGGAATGCCACCATTGGTCGTCAGTATGGCACCAAGCTCTACTACAAAAATGTTGACCTAGTGGGTGACGCATGGGGTCACTATGTGTCCTACAGTACGGCCCTCTTCCTTATCTCCTCCCTCTCATTGTATCTCTTAGTTTACCTCTAATCTTTTGTTCAGATGGCGCTCAAAGCGACTTGAATCTTACCAATGCTCGGATACACAAAGTCACTGGCGACTACACCGATGTCGTTTTTACAGCGACAGAGGGGGAATTTCATTGGGTCTTGACGCCCACGTTGACGGGCGCATATCAGTACTTCGTGAACAAAGCCTTACCTACTCTTGGTGAATTCCGTACTCTCTGGCGGCTTGCAAACGATAGCTTTACCCACGGGTGGACGGACGAAAGGAACGAGGCACTGCCACCCTTGTCGGACATTGTCAATGCCGTCAAGATCCAAGATGAGACCTGGCAGCAAGCTGACGGCACATACATCACAAAATATGATTTCGCAACCTTCTTGCCGGTAATTGAAGGGCAGTCCGCTCTCTGGGGACTCTACGGGCCGCTGGGTGGCCAAGAGGCGAGTGGCGAGCAAGTTGGCTCGTGGTATATTCATGGGGGTAAAGACTACCTGAACGGCAACCATCTGAAGCAGGAGTTGTTGGTGCACCGGGAGAGTCAGACTGGGGATGCGGTACAGCTGAACATGATCCATGGCACGCATTATCAGGCCGTCAGCAGCGACGTGTTCCCGGAAGGTAAGACCTGGGGCCCATGGTTGTGGTACTTGGTAAGTTTCGCCCACAATTCTCGCCGTGTTCAGCGATTCTGACATATCTGACAATCGTGACAGAATGATGGCTCCATCCAAGACGCGGCGACTCGCGCCAAGGAGGAGATTGCGGCTTGGCCGTACGACTGGATGCAGGATAGCCATGGATACCATTCCCGCGGCAGTCTTCGAGGACGCATCGTGCTCTCCGACGGCCAGGCTGCGAGCGGGGCGGCAGTTTTCTTAGGGGACAACCAGTCCAATACTAGCACGTTGGACCAGGGAGCCTGGTACTACTATCGGACCTATGCCGATGAGAACGGGTACTTTACCTTGGAGAATGTCCGTGAGGGAACATGGGGCCTTCGTGTTTTCGCTGCTGGAGGCGACGCGGCAGGCGGAGTGACCTCTGTCCTTGAGAAAAACAACATTTCCGTCCACAGCGGTGAAGCCCTATGGTTAGGGGACGTGACTTGGGCTCCGCAAGGCCGCGAGGTCATCTGGCAGATTGGCGAAGTCGATCGCAAGGCTACCGGCTTTGCCTATAGCGGTGCTCCCCACCAATTCGCGAGGGGACTCAACTGCCCGGCCAACCTGACCTTCACCGTGGGAACGAGCCAGAGTAAGGACTGGTGCTTTGAGCAGTCATCACTGGGTACGTGGACGGTGGAATTTGATCTTCCCCGCAACTCGACGTCCCAGGGACGGTCAGCAGTCCTGTCAGTTGCGTTGGCCGGGTTTAGCGCAGGGAGTTCAGCTACGGTCTCCGTGAATGGGGTTTCAGTCGGAGCGATCAGCTCGAGTGTTCTTGCCAGCGACCCTAGTAGTTATCGGTGTGGCACGTTGGCGGGTGAATGGCATCTGCTCGAGTTTCCAGTCTCGGCAGATGCGCTTCGCAATGGGGCTAACTCCGTGGAGTTCACTATCACCAAGTCGACACTGTTTCGCGGATGGATTTATGACAGCGTGTTGTTGGGATGGGCATGAATTGAGTGTGGGCTCTATTAGAAATGCATTTTTCTTGCGATTAACCTCGTTTTGCCTCGTCTTCTGCTGAATAAATTCGGTGAACGACTGGATTTGTTGGCGTAGTTGACAAAGTGACCTGGGGAGGTTTGAGACCCGCAATCGAGCAGGCAAATTGGAAGTCTGCAATAGGTCGTATGCAACCTCAAAGTAAATACAGCCTCTTAATTCTGGTGTCTGAGTATGCAAATTGTCTGCGGCGCATGTTTCTGCCATGATACACTCTCCCAGGGTAGCACAAGTCGTGCTGGGTTCCAGAACTGAGAGGATGGACAAGTCCACTGCCTCTTGTCCCCCCCCTCTCCCTCGCTTTATCTCTTCATCCACTACACCCTTGTCTTAAGTGCTCCAACGCTATGCCGTCTCAGATCGATTCCACACTTGCTACCCTGCCTCATTCATGGTCGACATCGTCGAGAAAAGGAATGAGATCTCCGCAAACAGCGAACACAAACGAATCGTTACCAGAGCGAACACCGTAATCCTTCCATCTATCTCTACGCAGCAGGGGTCAAGATCCAGGGGGAATTGCATCAAGCGTTTTATATGCATTACTCTGACATTTACAATGTCTACTTCCTCAGATACGTCAACGCCGCGACACAAAGCGCGTCCATTCCCGTCTTCATCGTTGGCTGAATCGCCGGGGCAAATGAGGCGGAATGGTTGCCAGCAATCTCGTGGAGGCGATCTTCGCTTTCTGCCTCATCCCACACTTCCGGATCGATGCCACCAAAGAACCAAAACGAGCAGGGCCGGCGCTGGCTAGTGCCAAGGATCGAGAAGTCTTCGCTGACATTAGTCCGAGGGGTGTCGGCGTCAAACCCGTCTGCAAAATGCTCCGCGAAGCAAGGCGCCAGTTCAGCCGTGACTTGCTTGTCGTTGATGGTGGGAGGGAAGTTTCGAGTGGGTGTGAAGACCGGTGGCCGCGGCGAGCCACTGGCCATGCACTCGGCCTCGACGATACGCTTGATCGCGGCGAGGATCCTATCGCGGGTCTCGACGCTCACCGAGCGGAAATCCACGCCCAGCTCGGCGGTGTCCGGGATGACGTTTTCCGCCTGGCCGGCCTGCAGGCTCCCGACTGTCACGACCGCCAGATCACTGGGGTCAATCTCGCGGCTCACGATCCCCTGCAGCCGCACCACCACATTCGCCGCCAGCAGCACCGGATCCACCGTCTGATGTGGCAGGGACCCGTGACCCCCACGCCCGAACAGCGTGATCTTCAAGCTATCCGCCGCAGCCATGATGGTCCCCGGACGCGAGCCCACGCTCCCCGCGCGCATGCGCATCACATGCTGGCCGAAGACATAATCCGGCACGGGGATCTTGTCGTACAGGCCGTCATCCACCATTGCGCGGGCGCCCTCCCCGCGCTCCTCGTCAGGCTGAAACACCACAATCAGTGTTCCACTCCAGTCGCATCGCATCCGCACCAGCCGTTCAGCCGCCGCCAGCAGACACGTGATGTGCATGTCGTGGCCGCAGGCGTGCATGGCCGGCTTCTCCGCGCCGCTGGCATCCTGCATCGTGACCGCGCTGGCGTAGGGTAAGCCCGTGATTTCTTGCACGGGGAGAGCGTCCATGTCCGCCCGCAGAAGGACGGTCTTTCCCGGCCCGTTGCGCAGGACCCCGGCGACTCCGTTACCCCCGATCCGGGTGTGGATCTCAAAGGCATCCCATTGCGCGAGATGAGCTGCTATTCTTTCGGCGGTTGCTTTCTCTCTTTTGGAGAGTTCGGGATGTGCGTGGAAATGCTTGTAGAGAGATTCGTAGGGGGTCAGGTCTAGGGGGTTCGCGGCTAGGAGCTCAGATGGGGTCTTGCGCGTCATCTTTGGGATTGTTGTTGTCTGTGTAGTGTAGGTAAAATTGCGGTGGTTGTTATGGAGTTGTTAAGAAAAGATGATGACTCAGGGGCATATGACAGCTTCTAGTTCTATGACAGGCAGCGCTTTAACTAGCGCCGGGTGGGAAGCGGCACAAGCCGTACCCGGCACGAGGCTGGCGGGTCAAGGCGGGAGAGTGACAATATTGCCCTAGAACAGTTTGGAAGTTAATTCCCTCTTAAGATTCTCGAGAGTAGAGGTCAAATCAAGCCAATGGAATGATCATTCAGTCAATAGGCTCTGATCATTCAATTGGCCGTTCTACTGGGTGATTCACTGGTAGCGTGGCCTGCCTTGTAGAACTTAACAGGCGGCAGGGCACATCGTCCACATTCACACTCTGGGAAAGCTCTACCGAGCCTATTGAATATCCTCGTATCCAATTGAAGATCAGACATCGACTTATCCAGTTCTTCTATCCTTCCCTCCTCTCGCCTCTTCTCCAACAACTCTTCCAGTCAACAACTCTTCCTCTCATACTGTATGTACGCGTATAAAACCCAATCAACAGATATTTATTCTTCGATTGACACCATCCACCACACTTTATACTAGTCAGGCTCAAAGATCTCATATTATACCTACTTTGCTTATCCTGACAGCCTTGAGTGTCTCTCAACAAGCTATGAGAGGCTTCAGGTCGGAACGATTTCACCCAGCAGCTGGAGACATCTCTACTTGCTAGGCTCCCTAACCTCAAAACAACCTAGCCTGCCGAATGGCTTCACAAAACACACCGAGTTGTGGCGCCCTGGCTCCGAATCAACCAACAAGAACCCACTTTTCTCGATCCATCGACTCTGTGTCGTGAGTTTGATACCGAACCGGGACCAGAATTTAAGTCCATCTACGAATTCCGAATCCGACAGAAGAATCCCCAACGAATTCTGACGCACTTCCTCAGGCATCGACCAAGATGCCAAAAAGAACAGAATCGGCGATGGTGCCCGGAATCAGACGAAAAACTCCAAATCCGGAGCCGAAAATTTCGCCCTGCCCGGCATTTCCACCGCAGAATCCGAACAGCCCTTTCCTGACGCAGCGGGCGAGTATATGCTCAATGAGAAAGGCACTTTGGATGCACACTGTGGGCACAATAAGTTTCACAGTCGACGCCGGGAGCATCTAGGCTAATCTCACTTTGTCCATTGTGCCACATCCTTTGTGGACGATATCTTCATCGAGAATAGACGGGGCTAAGCCCGGTCTTGGCAGAGTCAAGATAGACGACTCGAAGAAATCGACCTGAGCGAGATCGTCTATATACTTTCGAGTGACCCCGATCATTGGGATCGGATCTAGAAGCGGCGCATATCATCCCCACTATTCTACACGTTCGGTCAATGTTGATTGAGCACGTGCTTCAACACACCGAGGAACAAACAGGATGCAATACCCTTTTCGGACGGAGACCATCTCGATTTTAATTGGGTAAACGAGAGGAATCGGGTAGGCATTAAATCAAGCTTTGGGAGGGGATTTGGGCTGTTACTATACAGTACCACTGCATCAAACTGCGCTAGCTTCGGCCAGAGCTTCGGTCAAGAATTCTCGACCTTATTGGGAGATTGTGCAGAGAGGCCCTGGCAGTGGCGACGTCGGGGGGAGTAACTCATGGACGCCATCCTTATGTCGGATCTCAGGACATAGCCCCTTACGAATCCGGTAAACGAGGTATTTATGAAGGACTACTGGGCAGCAGACTACGCTGGTATAGTCTGTTGTACCTAGCCGAGGAAAGTGGTCTATCAGTCGGGTTATGTATTGCGGGATGAGAATCACCAGCGACTAGGGGGGCTGACACTGGCCAACGACCTCTCAAAAGGTTGCGCGTGGCGCCTTGGTTGGCCAGCGACCTCGCAAAAGGTTGCACGTGGTGCATCGGCCCTCCTAGTTGCGGTGGGGTGAACACCACCAGGCCACAAGGGCCTGCATCCGCTTGCTGACGGAGTAAATGGATTCAAGAAGGCCGGGTAAGCGTGAGCAAATGCGGAAAGATAACGCGTTTGTCTATTGCAAGCGCATACGAGGCTCTATAAGCAGATCTCGGAATTCCCGGCGAGTTTAAGGCTCTGCGCATTTTTACCCGCGAGAATTCAACCATCATCTGGCAATTGCTAGATACCATGGAAGTCAAGCATGATAACCATGGTTTCGTTCTAGGAGGTTCCATCGTCTGGCTTGTCTGGGGGACGACTAAGATTCCGCTACAATCTGGACGATGGAGCGTGACCAGATCAGAGAGAAGCCGCCCCCGGCCCGCTTCTTCTAATATTGGAAGGTCACTATAACTTTTATATGGGTAAACCCAGACGGTTCGAACGTCGGCTTCGTCAACGCACCTGAGAATCAACGGCTTGAAATTCCTATGAAGGAGGGATGGAATGAGAATCAACCCAAGCCGCGTGTATATAGGGTTTCCAGGAAGGACCAAGAGGTGATAGACAAGACGTGTGACAACCTGCATGCGCAAGGCAAGATTTTTCTATGCCACAAGACACACCCCAACAGCCTACCCAGTGTTTGTTATATGGAGAACCGTGACAGATCCACAAACCGGTCACCAAAACTGCAAAAGGCAGAGCAGTTGTCGACCTCAGGGATGCAAACTCACTCGCTGAGGGTACCGTGCCGCCCCTTATTGTCCGCCAGCAAGAAACTAGTCTGGGACCCAGAGACCTCTTCTCTGATAGCTATATTGCCGGATACTTTATGCCAACTGAGTTAGTCACATAGTCACAAGACAACGCTGGAGTGAGGCCAATTATGTCGGTTACCGTCTTGCTAAGATGCACCGGTACGGCAATGGCATGAAGGGCACGTGGCTTAGCGATTACTTCTGAATGATGAGAGGGTTTGTATCAATCGAATAGATGATAGGAATAGTTCCGCCATGATAGGTAACAGTGACGAATTTGGGTAAGACTAGCAATGACGCATCCTGGACATATAGGGGACATATAACAATCAGACCCGATGGTATTGTTACTTTTCTTCTCCGTCGTACTCGCCCTCATCCAGACCGCACACCCTCCCTGAAACCTCTGTCTGGCACCAACCACCCGTCAACCCATCTCAACATACCTACCTCTTCTTTGGAACTTATTGAGAGACTGCTCGAGGGGACCATGAACCGGAAAGCAGCACAGAAGCTCCGGCGGTGGCAGCACGAATGGCAATCGCGCAACGTAAACACACTGGTCCTCGATTACGTCGAAGCGGAGACCAAGCTGCGCTTCAACATCCAGCGGGAAGCCAGGGTCCAAGTGGAGCATGAAGCTCTTTTCATCAGCAGTACTAAGAACACCGACAACGACAAGAGAGCAACGGCATCGACGGTCTCGAGGGTGGAGGCACTGCAGAAAGAACTGCGCTCGCTCTCCGAGGGCATTTAGCACCAGGAGCGCAAGCTGGACATGGTTCACGCTCGGCTCTGTTCCCTACCGATCCGACGGGCCCTGGTCAGCTGCCACAAGGACAAGGAGTGGTACTTGTCGGAGTGGATGCGGGCGGACTGCGCGCGCCGCGAGGGCTGTTGCGCGCGGGAGTGCGGCTGCTGTCGGCGGCCGCAGCATCGGGGCCACTGCACCGCGGCGTGCGCGTGCTGCGAGCAGAGCAGAGGGTTTGCGGTCACCGGCAAGGATGTCTGGGAGCCGGGGAAGATGGCTTGGGTGTCGATAGAGAACCAGCTGAATATTTATGCGACGCGGTTGAGGGATGCGTATTTCTTCGGGCTGTGAGGTTGGGCTGCATGCTTGCTGCGCTTCGGTTCTCTTTAGGTTCTTTTTTCGTGTATTGCTCTCCGAATGTGTTATCCAGATTGCTTCTATGGATTGCTGAGGCTAATAGGATTTGTGTGTCGGGATACGAAAAAGGCCGTGCAGTATAGAGTTGAGAACAGACCAATTGACGATCCCACCATCATATCGCGCCGGATAACAGATTGTGGCGGTGCATGCACAGGATCTGTGGCGGTGGCGCGTGGCACATGCGGCGACCCTTGCATGTGACGCGGTCCTTGAAGGGGTGTGATATCATCGCCCGTGAGAGAGGAGCGCCTTTGCTTTCCCCCTCCCCCAGATTACAGTGCTGGCGCGTCCAAGATCCATTTTTTTTCTCTGAATTCTGTTGAATTCTCCTGCAAATCTTTTACCATCATAAAGTTCTTCGATACTCGAGCACAATATTAAGCAAGCAACCCGTACTATAACCGTCTATCCTTATCTTGATTATCATCCACGCGCGCAAGTGGAGTAGACAGACCGTTCCATACTTTCCCTGTCCCACCCGCGCATATTCCCTCCCTTCGCATCCGCCTGCGTCCCTGGCAAACGGCTCCCTTTTCCGCATCCTGCCTATTTATTTATCTCGCATTTCCTGATATTAATCTTCTTTGACAGAGAAAATCATAACTTCAGTTGATAACATATTGAAAGTCAGAATATGCGATAAGTCCAAATCATGCAGCAATTCAAGACCTGGAGGCGTGCGTCCATGCGACAACAACAACAACCACCACCAAGCCATGACCCAGTACTGACGGCCGAGGACGAAGCCTTTCTACGCGGGATCATGACAGACCCTGCGAGCTCCAGCCAGGAATCCGCCGCACAAGCTACCGAACTGAATCGCCAGATATCGCCCGTCTCGCCGGTGGGGACAGAGGTCCAAGAGCCGCCCTCGGCGCAGTCGCCGGTGTCACCGGTGGAGGAATACGGGAGAGAACTGGGGGAAGAAGAACGCAAGGCACGAGAGGCTACTGCTGCTGCTGCTGCTTCTACAGACCGGAATGGGAGCACGGCTGGTGTGAATGCGCCGGAGGCAGCAGCCAAGGTGGAGAGTTCCTCGCCGCCGCAAAGGAAGGGCCCGTGGGGTTGGCTGCGGCGACGGAGCACGGTCATGAAGAAGGTATAGTATACTCGTTATGCCGGCGTGTCTTGTATCTGTATCTGTGTAGTTAACAATTGATCTTTTAGGAAACCGGAACTACGAATGAGGCGCCTACCAAAGCAGATAACAAGCCCAGCGAGGCCCAGCAGGCCGCCGAGACGGACAAGGATGAAATCGACCAGGAGAAGGAGGATATGACGGAGATTCTGGAGAGGCTGAACCTGGCAGCAGAGAACAATCGGGTGTTTTCGATGAGCAATGAAACGCGGGAGTTGTTGCGCAAGTTCACCCTGATCTTCAAGGACCTCGTCAACGGCGTGCCCACCGCCTACCATGACCTCGAGATGCTGCTCACCAACGGGAACAAGCAGCTGCAGAGCACGTACTCGCAGCTGCCCGGGTTCATCCAGAAGCTAATCCAGAAATTGCCCGAGAAGTGGACGGAGACTCTGGCGCCGGAGGTGCTCGCGGCGGCCACCGCCAAAGCCAGTCAGAGCGGCCTCAACGTCGAGAACGTGGGCAAAGCAGCCGCCGCAGCCAACAAGATGGGCATCAAGGTGCCTACCTTGAAGGAGCTGGTGGGGAAACCGGCCGCGCTGGTTGGAATGCTACGCTCGATCGTGGCATTCCTCCGAGCTCGATTCCCGGCCGTGCTGGGGCTTAATATGTTATGGTCGTTGGCTTTGACTAGTAGGTTGCTATCTTCTTCCTAGATACCGGGCACACCGACTCACTGACGCCACAGTCCTCCTGTTTGTTCTTTGGTATTGCCACAAGCGCGGCCGTGAGGTCCGGCTGGAGAACGAGCGTATAGTCACCGAAGAAGAGATTGGGAAGTTGAATGACGAAACCTCCACTGAGCAAGACAGGATCCGGGCCACGGAGACCTTGACCACTACAGCGCCGCAGGGAGCATCTGCCACGGAAATCCGACAGGGGATTGAAGAGGCACAACATGCACGGCATACAGCAGCAGCAGCCGCAGCCGCAGCCGCCAACCCCGCTGCAGTCGATCGTCAGAAGAGTCAAGAGAACGAGAACCCCGAGGAGTCGTCAACCTCGAAACCTAAACGGAGCAAGTCCCGGCTTTCGATTTGGACCAGGTCCGAACCGAAACCGACCACCCCAAAGATAGAACCATATCCTGGCACCTAAATTGGATGATGATCTGAGGAGAGATGGCTGATAGTCACGCAAGAGGGAGAATTTGTTACGAATATTTGTTTGATACCATCACGTCTTGTGTACTTGTTTGGAGTTTCAGGTTCCCTTCTTAACGATGAGTCAATACACAAATCCACTCATATGTTGGCCACCTGGCCTTTTCCCTTTTCCTAAAGTCCCAAAAAAAGACGAGATGGATCCGCGGTTGCGCAACGGAGCGGGCAGAAAGACCCGAGATTGCGGGCGACTTGTCTCCGGGTGGCGATATCTTTCCCAATTCTTTCTGAGGATATCTCCATTGCCTTCCGCCCCGACAGAGGGGCCAACTTCTCGCCGTATCATGTGACTAGATACTCACAGATCGAGATACCGTAGTCATGATTACCTCAATCTTCAGCAAGGGGCTATAAACCTTACTAGTAGGCAGCACATGACCTAAACGTATCTGCAAGCTTTAACTAGAGTATCTTTAGAGTACTAGTACAGTAGAAGGCCGAATTGACGAGTACCAAGCCCACCGTTTGATACGATACGATAGATCCATGATTGCGGGGTGCAGGTTTCCCCCCATGTGAGAAAAGTCGTCGTCCGCATTGGCCAATGGGGCTCTGCTCTAGTTGTGGCGGATGGCCGATCGTGTAGTAAGCCGCGCTCCACCGAGTGCCTGGAAGAACGGTATTACCGGTACGCAGTATCGGTACTCGGTACTGTACCTTTGCTCATGCTGCGGTCTGTCCCATGCAAGATCTCAAAATCTCGACAATCAAAAGGGGAGACTCGAAACTTTACTGCAGCACTTGAATGTAGCTAGACGCTCGCTGATAGCATGAACGAGGCGATCTCAATTGGGTATTAGATTGCAAATCGCATGGACCTGGAGGGTTGAAGAATGGTTCAGGAAAAGGTATGGAAAGACGCCAGATCTACGGAGCACTCCGTACTTGCGTTTGAGATTGGAGGTCAATCGAGGTGAGGTGCTGGGTTATACCGTACCTAACCTACTACCTACTAACTGATTCCAAGGGGAACTGGAAAGGTGTCCGTATCATCTTGATAGGTATTCTGGATCACTAAGGCACCGTACTTGCTCCCTTATCCATGGCTGAATGAATGCACGTGGTCTTGCTGGGGTAAGTCGGTTTGTTCAATTTGCCGATGCCTCCTCCTCCCCGTCTCCTATTCTCAGCAGGAGAGCCAGAGAAAAAGGAAGATGCGAAGCGGATTCCAATGGACCAGAAATCAATTAGTCCATTTCATCAACGCCCTGCTCACTACCGTAATCTACCTAGGTAGCCAGCTGTCTCCCCCTCCCCTTACCGCTTCTTTGTAACCAATCACATGTAGATGCATGCATGCGCGATGCATGTATGTATGCCACAGGGCACAGGCTGCCATGCCTACCTACCTAATTATACTCAGCCCGGATGGAGGGAGGTATCGTGGGATGTGGGATTGTCTGCCGTATGTGTCCAGCGCTGTACTGAGTATGAGGGCTGTGGTGACTACGTAACTCGCCACCGCGGTGGAGAGATGGAGATTGTTTATACCGGGAAGGGTAAGGATCCGGGCTCGAGATCTTCTACTGTATCATGGAAGCTGGAGGAATCGTGCTGGGGGGTAGTCATACGGTTGAGGTGGTCGGATCGTGGGCACTTGGTGAATCACCTTCGTATGTGTATATCTGAATTGGGGTTCGCTGGTGGAGGAGCTTGGGTACAGTATTGCGTGATTGTGCTTTACACCGTAGTAGTGATTCGGAAGTGTTGGGTGTTGGGGATCTGGTTTGATGAGTCTGTTGTTTCATGATCCAGATTGTGATTATGATAGTCGGTTTCTGATCCTACAGATGACTGATGTATTCGTAGTTTTGTGGTTGGCGTCCAGACTCACTTGCGGGGAGCTATTTGTCTGAGGCGGATGGGTGACATCGCCGCCCCTGGCAGCATTGTCATTGTAACCGCCTCAAAGCCGCGGGGTTGGACACCGTCTCCTCCATCAGATCTGAGGTGCTGCATCAATGCATCCTCTGGGATAACGCGGTAGTTGAATCACAGAAAGGGCAGTCTAGCGACTCAGATACTTGGGGAGTATACCTTTTTTTAGGCTTCAGACAGGGACGGACAGCAGGACGCTGCGCTGCAGTAGCAATTGTTGTTGTTGTTGCAGGATTCGAATTGCAGGGCGGCAAGGCTGCACCTTTCCCAAAGCATCAGCACTAAGCCCAGATGGGGCTAGACTAGCCGTTCAAAGCTGTGGCTCAGCCAATCGCAGAACTGGGATTGACCTCATTCCGAGGCCAGTGTGTCCAATCGCCCGCCGCCGCATCCATCCATACAACAGGCAGATTTCTCTCATCCGGCGGTAATCTCGTGTAGAGGTCGGAGGAGATATCAGGAACCCGCGATATACGGGGGGTTGTGATTCATGCTTCTGTGATGAGTCGACGTTCCGATCGATGTCTGGGCGCGGGGAGAAGGGGGGAGGGGAGATGGGTTTGTTGTGTCATTGTGCAGGAAGAGACAGATACCGAGATTGAGCACGGTCCAACATGCTGTCCCTTAGATAAGTCCGTTATCCTTACTTCAGGAAAAGTGGCTTGAGGTTCGAATAGTCTTCACCCGCCCGCGTTTTGCATGCCACGATATCCGGGACACACAGGAAGGGAAGGGGAGTTGCTACGCCCGTCCTCGAGCAGAGAGAGGCTCGGGAGAGATCTGCACTCTTGCCTGCATAGCTATGATCTAATCAACCGATTCACTCGTAACTCTGATGGGAGTTTGCATGGGTCTCTCTGGAGTACCACCAAATAGTACTCCGTACTTCTCTCCACGCGATAGGTGCAGTGACTGCCTGTCCGACCAACGTATGAGTCACCCGTTGTTTCTCTCTCGCCTACTGGTGACTCCGTCCGCAGCTCATCACTCTTTTGAACCCGGTTCGACCGGGAAATAACTACGACTTACTAGAGGGAAACGGGGAGGGGAGGAGAGGGGGAGCGGGCCAAGTCATCAGGTTGACACAGCTATTCAATAGTCATCGAACTAATCTAAATGGCACTTGAATCAAGAAATCCCGTAAGCGCCATCGGCTTAGTGTCTAAGGATTATCGCTCTGCCCGGTCGTTCCACGTCCTCGAGCACGATGACCGTTCGACCGACTTCCGAACGCCATCTGCAGTTTCAGGTACCCAACGAGAGGAGTGACTAACTTACTAGTTAGTTCTCTACCCTGGACAATAGGGTCTCGACTATTCCAGCTCGCATGCTCATGCTCCCTCCTCCATGGACTGAGTATTCGAAAGGAATTTCATTCCTGTGGGGTCTTAGCCTGAGCCTCTTCCTGTCATCCCTTGAGTCAGAGCTTGTAGGACAAAGATATTTTGCCTCTTGAATGCCTGAGGTCTAAGGCTTCATCGTGTTGGACCGTTGTTAATTCTCCGTCGACTTCATTTCGAGATGACTGGGACCCGCTGCTGAATCGACCAGCCAGCAATGCAAGCTACTATTGAGAGTGGGGAGAGAATGAATGCAGGCAAGAAAAAAAAGAGTGAAAAAAAAGTCAACCAGAATAAAAAACGACAGCAGAGACTAGAATGAAACAGGAAAAGAAAAAAAAGATGCGGTGAACACCTGTCCGCCAATGGCCATGCTTGCTTTAGTGGCTCCTAACCAATGACAAGCTGAATGACTGCGACCGGCCGGCCGATACTCCACCGTGACTGGAAAATTTGGTCCGCTTCAGCCTGTCCGAGGCTGTTTTGGTTCTGTAACCCGTTTCTAACAGTAACACCCCGTACCGCCGCCCCGGCGGGATTGTTGTCTCTAGTAGTACCTTAAGGTATGGAATTTGTACAGTATGTACGCCCGCGGGCCTACTGCGAGCCTGTACTGTAAGCCTGCCGCCCTCCCCCTTCCTCTAAACATCGATCCCCATAACTTCCACCCCTCATCTTCTTCCTTCTTTCCTTTCCTCTGCCCCCATCTACTGCAGATTCTTTCCACATCTACAGACCACCCACCCCCACCAAACCCCTCCATCCCAAAACCCCCTTCTTAATTCATCATACTATTCAGATATCGTCAAGTGTACCGCGCCAGGATGGCCTTCGTTGAGCTGTAAATCTCTCCGCTGGGAAGCACGGCTGCCATTTCCATGCTTCCCAGTCCTAGCAGCTCCGACTATCTCTCATCGAACTTGACGACTATCTGCTCCTCTTTCGACGCAACCTTTCAATTCCCAGCGTCGGAATTGCCTATCACTACACTCATACGAGAAGCACTTTTGACGTCCCCCATCTGGACGCTGAGGTGCTTTGGCGAATTCGAAAAGTCTTTGCTATCGTTCCAATCTTATCCTACCCTACCCTACCCTTCCGTTCTCCGGCTCCTGGCCGTAACCTCTTCACCTTGAAAACTCTCTCTCGCTCTCTTGTCCTTGGACGAAGTAACGACGACCATATCTGCCTCTCCCCATACGCTTTCACGAATTGACGGTCGGAATCCGCCTCACCATTACGACAATCCTGTCCCTGACTCCGCCTTCGACAAAGTCTGACGCAATTGATTTATCCCGCGCGGCCTCACGGGTAGCAAACTTTGACGATCCATTAGTCTACCAAGGTCAACACTCACTCGTGCCAAGTTAAAACTGGCCGAGATACATTCAAAACAAACTTACCGCAATACCGTTTCTGATCAAAAACAACCATAATGCCTCCCTCAGCCCACTCGCCCAAGCGGTCCCCCCAGACTGCCGCAAAGGGTATCCAGCGCAACCCGACTCGTCGACCCTCCGCTCATTCCCTCGAACACACCCTGACGGGTCGCTCACCTAGAACCTCGAACAAGGGCCTCGCTCTTGGATCATTGGGCATGGACCGGAAACGCAGGGCTTCGTCTATATCGGTCTCCAGTGTGTCGTCGGTCTCCTCCATCGAGGAGCTTAGCGACGAGGAGGATAACGACTCGGAGGACGATGATGCCGACGATGAAGAAGATGAACAGCCGGCTGTTCGCGGCCCGTCTTATGGCCGTCGGGATCGGTCTCATAAGACGGGCATGAAGTCTGCCAAACGGACCAAGAAGATGAAATACTCCGATGACGATGGCTACGATGGCCAAAGAAGCAGTGATGACGATGACGATGACGATTCTGACGAGGACAACTCGGATGATATCTATGCTGCCGTTGATTATATCAGTGACGGAGAAGACGATGAGGACAACGATGTGGAGAAACTCGAGGAATTGTTGATCGTCGAGTCCGAGGATGAGCATGCCGTTGAGAACATCTTGACCGCCGCCGCCGCCACAGAGACTAATGACTGGGCCGGCCCCAATGTCTTTGACGACCATATGCTCCTATCGGCTGCGTCATTTTTCGACGACGAACAGCTCTATAGCGCAATGGAAACCTTCGGCGACGAAATGGCCAGCGAGACTGCCGTCGAGATACCCATACCCCGCCGGGTGCACTTTGAAGAAGACTCCGATTCTTCCTCCGACAGTGATTCACACACTGAAGACGAGATTCCAAGTGACTTCCTCCAACAGGACAGCCTGGATCCCCAGCTGCGTCGTATGATCGAGAGCGACAATGAGAACTTCCCGCGCCAGCGCCGTCAGTCAGAGGAGATGTTTGCCGACTCTGACTACGGACATTCGAACATCTATCACGTGGAATCCGACGCTGTTTCCGAGGGTTCGGAATCGAGCGGATATGAGAGTATGCAGAATGCTTGGGAACTTTTTACACTACGTTTGCTGACCCTTTTGAAGCCGATGATGGCGAGACCACAGATGAAGACCTTCCCCCTCCCGCTACCATCACTCATCCCAGATCTATCCTTCGCCGCGATTCATCCGCCTCTCTTGCACCTCCCGTCGAGGAAAAGCCTGAGCCTGTGAGTCGGCGCCGCGGGCCTATCATGGGTACCTTCGTCGCGGACCCCCACAAGCCTGTTGCGCTCGTTGATTGCACTGGTAAACATCTGGTCATTATTCCCGCCTATGCCTCGTCTCGCCATGACTGGCTGGAGTCCGCTACCAACAGTGTATGTGGTACGGCTCACAACAGCCCACGTGCCACCACCATGCATCTCATCGATGAGAGCGATACAGATGCACTCGCATCGCCCGGCCACCTCGATATGAGCCCGATGCTGGCCTCCAGTGCCAATCTGATGATGACGGCACTCGGCAATGATATTGCCCCAGGCGGACAGGTGATGGGGCCTCCCGAGGCTTTTTACCCGTCTCGGGACTTTGCCATTGACAGTTCCTTCGAGGACGACGATGAGGATGATCCGGAATCAGCCCTGAATGTCGAGGACTTCATTGACTTCGGCCATGAGTCGTCCGATGATGAGATGGACAAGGTGTTTGAAGAGGAAACACTACTCTCACCCATGGCAGCTCAGACCAAGCATGCCGGCACTGGCACGCCAACCCCGAGCCGGGCTGGCGAGTCCCATCATGCTAGCAGTGCAGAGCGGTTCCTTAATCATTTGGATCGAGGCATTGTGACCGCATTCCGCCGTAATCACAACCGCTACCAAGCACTGCTGCGTCTGCCCCAACATCGGGAGTTTATGCCCGCCAACTCACCTTCTCGCCCTGCAAGTGTGTTTAGACACGCACGTAATGCAGACCAACGAACCCCTACGCGTAAGCGGAAACCCAACGGGTACAACGGTGGGGAAGCCGTCCGACGAAAGTTGATGGATGCCCACCGTCGCAGTCAGCTTCCTTTCTAAGAACGCTGGCTGTCGAAGTCTTCTATGACCCTTGTCACTCAGGTCTTATGGCGCACCCGTCGATGTGGTAGCCCTCGCTGAACTAGAAACAACGAAAACAATACGATTAATTGTACATTGCTGCCAAAGCGCTGATATCTAAAAAGATGGGAACCTAATTCTCGGCAAAAGCATAGAAAGGTATTCGGACTGCATGTTCTGACTGAAACAGTCGATTTACTCTCATAGTCTAGAGGATTGGAGGATTACTCCATGACCAAAAGTTCAGCTTGATGATGATGTTTCACGGAGTTCAAAAGGGGATATACCTTGTTGCGAAGGATCAGGTAAACTCTCATACTATCTTCTAGCTATGTTCTCAATCTCGTATGCCATGTGTCATGTTACGGCGTTTGTCATTTTCCAGGCTACTATAATTCGAAAATCAAATTTCTAGGATCGATTGTGATTCTTTATGATTGATAACGTAGTACTACGCTCTGCTGAAGGTCCAATGAGACCGATCTCTGTGTTGCTCCATCCGACTGCGTGTTTCGGGATTATTGAACACACGGAAGATATGGAGCATCGAAGTGATACTACCCTATGCAAGCCACCGCCAGGGTAGTCGAGGGTATTGCGGCTTCATAGCTCAAAAGGTCCGGGCCTTTTGTGCAACATGCGAAGTGCATATCGTCGAATGCTTGACTCTGATGGGCCCGCTGGATATATATAGGTAACAAGCTAGACCCGAGTCTCGACGAATCCCCTTCGCCGTTCCCCTCCAAAGTTCATCAATATGAGGCCGTACCCTCCGACACGGTGCAGAACCGGACTCCACAGGCCCGAATTCTCATGCCAACCTCTGGGTGGCCAGCCTCTGGGAAGCGAAGCTTCTTCAGCAAGATGTCCGACGGTTGGCTGCCGGCCGCGATGAGCTGGCACCATTTGTAGTAGCTCATCTGTTTGTTTGCAGGTAGGATGGGTGAGGTAGTATCTCTCTGAAGCTTTTCTGGATGGAGGTAATTAGCATATCTTTTTTTTCCAGATGTGGTGATCGTGGAGATCTGCTATTGCTACTGCTGTTATTGTGAATTTTAGTATCTGCACCGTTCTTCATCTTCACATCATCTATTCAGATCCGGGCGCTAAGCCGCAGCAGCGATCTCCATCTGTTCGGTGGTTATTTTCAACAACCCTGAGATCGAACTTCCACCAGTAGTCTTTTGCGTTTGATTGGTGATGAACCATCCTGATCTAGAAATGACTGGCGTTCGCTTTTTTCTTATTGGATCAGTAGGTTAGAAAACAAAAATAGCCGCTCAGGTTGGTAGATTTCCCTTTCCCTGAGTATGTTGATGTTGCGGGCAGTGCCATGTTCGAGGGGGGAAGGTTGCAGCGCGAGACGCCCGTTTGCTGCATGGTGAGCTTAGAGGGAATTTTGTTCTGTAGGTTTTGTGGTTCGAACGATTTGGAATGAAAAGGCGAATTGGCCTTTTTCTTTTTTCTTTTCTTTTCTTGTTTGCCGAGGGAGGGGTTCTTTGGGTGGCGGTTGGGTTATTTTGAGGTGGTGTGACTCGACTTAGTTGCAACAGTAATTGAGTTTATTGTAAGTTAGTTGTACGTTACCTAGTAACTAGTCATCGCTCATCCCGCGGCAGACTTGCATCCTTCATCTACTAACTTACACCATTTACTCTCTCTCTTTCTCTCTTTTGGGATGTCCACATCCATCTTCTTGGCAGGTACTTGTTGGTCTGAAAAGATAGACAGAGACTCATCGTCATTGTCTTTTCCAAACGGAGCTAAGCCTGAAGGAGTCGGGCTGTCATTGTTAACACTGTGAGACTGTTCTCCACTCTCTTTACCTCTGGTTGCAAGACAATGAATGAATGAATGAATGACCATCTAGCTAATGGCCCCTCCGGCACATTACCTCACCTCACCTCCACCAGGACCTGCGCCTATTCTGGGATCAGCTCCGACAATAGCCTCTCGTCGACGGTGATTGGCGATGGGTGTGATTGACTTCGCGCCTCCCCCTCGTTCCCTCCAGTCCTTGTCAGGGTCCTTCAGCCTGTTCCTGCACTAGCGGAACAGTCGGCGCCTCCGCGTTGGATCGGCTCTCCGTCGCACCAACCGCTCACTACAACCTTGAAGAATGTCTTACTTGTAGAGACGAGGAAATCCAAATGCTTCGCTAGCCATGCTTGCATGCAACATCCGCGGCCAGTGAATGGACGGGGTGGGTGGAGTCTTGACCGGGCATGGTCCCTCTTCCTCACAGTCTCTCGGGCAGGAGGGCTCTTTATCCTATTGCTTTTGATGGATACCACTCAACCCCCCCCCCCCTGTTGCAGCATCTGGTGTTATGGATTTAAGAGATCAAACGCCCTCTTTGAAAGCGGGTGGGTCGCTGCGTTTCTTTCTATTTACTTTCTTCGCTCTCTACAATTGTGTTGCTATTTATTCCCCTTCCCATTGTTGTTGGTGCTCGTTGCTGGACATAGAGACATTCGTTTCATCTGACTACTAACACTCGTTCGATCTTGTCAATCGCTTTCGCTGTATACTTTTTCTCTCTCTCTGTCTCTTCGACATCTTCTTCTTCTTTTTCTTCTTCTTCTTCTTCTTCTTCTTCCTCGTTCTCAGTATCGTCGTCGTAAGGTATCTTGACCACTGAAGGATATCAGCCATCTCTGTCTCATAGCATCATAAGACTTTACTCTCGCTCAGTCACTTCGCTTATCTATTCGCCATGAGGGCCATTGCCTCGGTCTCTCTCCTGGCTCTCGTCGGCGTGGCCCAAGGGTCAAGTGTGGTAAATTTGTCTACCTCAGATCCGCAGAGCTCGTGCTGATATCCGCAGTGGTGGAACACCGACGAGAGCTTTACCAGCCCTGACAACACCAAGACGACCTGTTCTGAGCAGCAGCAGGCTGGGTTTGACTGGTCCGACCTGGCTGTCGGATCCTCCCCGAGCTATGCAGGCTTTGAGTTCTCGGGCTTCTCCGTGCGCAATAATTTCAGCACGGCTTCTGGCGTAAGTATGACGGCGTCGGTGATGGAGATGAGAGTTGCTGGCTAACTGGACCAGGCCAAATCCATCGTGGGAACACTCACCAAGGATACCTCGTCGGCTCCAGAGATATCATCTGCATCAAAGGACCAAGACTTCTCCGTCAATGAGTTCCAGCTTGCCACCTCCCGCACTGCTGACATCCGCATCGTTTATGGCATGGCTGATGGTACCACCTGCAATACCTTTGCTTCTGTCTCCGCCAACGGGTCCACTGTCGCCAATGACCAGTGCGGCGGTGCCACCTCCGTGAGCTTTCTACTGGCTGAAGAGGCGAATGTCGATCTTTGCTTGTTGAGTGTGTACAGGATTGGATTCGACTGCTCTTCTGGTAAGGCGTCGACAGCATCCAATCCTTCCGACACTGCGTCTGGGCTCAATGCGAGGGCGTACTCCGTGCCGCTCATTCGAAAGGATCGGACCACTCCTGCAGCTGTCGTGACTCCTGCCCCAGAGGCGCCGACTAATAACCTGGCGACTTCGACCTACTATATCACCAGTGAAATCGTGATCACCAGCTGTGGCCCTTCGGTGACCAATTGTCCAGCAGATTCCACCACGGTGATCACGTCGACGATCCCCGTGTCTACTGCCGTTCATTCTGCCACAGAGACCTCTGCAGATGAGTCTTCGACGGAGGTGCCAGATGTTACCTCTACCAGCAGCGTGGAGTCTAGCGTCGCTGTCCCTACTGCTACTTCTTCCATCGTAACTATCCCCGTTGATACATCTTCTGGCACGACTACACCGACCGTCACGCCTTCTAGCAGCGCGGTCCACAGCTTAACGCACTCCAGCGAAGTCGTCCCAACTGTCACACCATCCAGCAGCACGTCTAGCTTTACGCACTCGAGTAGCGCGCTTTCCAATACCCTTTCATCTGGAAGCTCTCCTGTGGAGTTGACCTCTTCTCAGTTGATCCACACGCCTACGTCCGCACCTGTAATCACGCCAGGGCCTAGCTCCTCTGCTCCGGCTGCGGACAAAGTCACGGTGATTACCTGGGCCACGGTGACAAGCTGCCCGGTGACTTCGACGGGTACCGTCAGTGGAACTCTGACCACCTCTGTGGGCACTACTCTTTCTACGGTGACTATGACTTCAACATCGACTATCTGCACCAAATGCGTTGCCCCAACCAGCGTTCCATCGGGAGTGGCACCCATCTCCTCGGGCCCTATCTCGTCCGGTCCTGTCCCTTCTGCTCCCGTTACTACACCAGGGCCCAGTGTACCTGCATCAAGCGTGGACAAAACTACAGTGATCACCTGGGTGACTGTCACAAGCTGCCCGGTCACCTCCACAGGGACTGTCAGCGGCAAGTTGACTACTTCAGTGGGCACGACGCTTTCTACCGTGACCATGACCTCAACGTCGACCATTTGCACCAAATGTATTGCGCCAACAACTGTTCCGTCGGGCGTGGCGCCCATCTCCTCGGGTCCTGTCTCGTCTGGTCCTATACCATCCGCTCCCGTCACCACACCAAGTGTGCCCGTCTCGAGCGTGGATAAGACCACGGTGATCACTTGGGTAACCGTGACCAGCTGCCCGGTCACCTCCACAGGGACTGTAAGCGGCAAACTGACTACGTCAGTGGGCACGACACTATCTACAGTGACGATGACCTCAACGTCTACCATCTGCACCAAATGCATCGCCCCTTCTACCACTGTTCCTTCAGGCGTTGCTCCAATCTCTTCGGGTCCAGTTTCATCCGCTCCTGCCAATACTCCTGGCCCAAGCGCGCCCATCTTGAGTGTAGACAAGACGACCGTTGTCACTTATGTCACACTGACCACATGCCCTGTGACAGCAACGGTTTCTGAAGGCGGCTCTGTGAGTACTTCGGTGGGAACGACGGTGTCGACTGTAACGTTGACGTCCACTTCAACTATTTGTACGAGGTGCATTGCTCCGACGTCGGTTCCGTCGTCGATTCCTGCTGTGACTCCGACTTCGCTCTCTACGTCGCTCACATTGCCTCTTCCGTCTTCTGTGGCGCCTGTTTCATCTGGTCCTGTTTCTACTGTCACTGGTGTTGTCACTGGGTCTGTCACTGGTTCAGTTACTGGGTCTGCTATTGGGTCTGCTACTGGCTCGGTCACCAGTTCTACTACCTCTGGTACTGTTACTTCGGCTTCCATCCCATCAGGTCCTGTCTCATCGGGACCCGTTCCAACAGGACCCGCGCCATCGACTTCTGCCCCAATCACCCGTGTGGATAAGACTACTGTTGTCACATATACCACAGTGACTACTTGTCCTGTGACATCGACAGTCTCCGACGGTGGTTCTGTGTCGACGTCGGTTGGAACTACAGTTTCAACCGTCACACTTACTTCAACCTCAACTATCTGTACCAGGTGCATTGCGACAACAATTCCCTCTGGTGTGGCACCTATCTCCTCCGGTCCGATCTCATCGGGCCCAGCTCCGTCAGGCCCCGTCCCAGTCACTAGCGTGGACAAAACTACTGTGGTTACATATGTCACTGTCACGACTTGCCCTGTGACCTCGACGGTCTCGGAAGGGGGTTCTGTAAGTACATCAGTAGGAACTACTGTCTCAACTGTCACACTTACCTCAGTGTCAACCATCTGCACCAAATGCATTGCTACAACAGTCCCATCCGCTGTGGCTCCCGTCACATCTGGGCCCGTTGCATTAACTACTTCAAGTGTGGACAAGACCACAGTCGTCACTATCACCTCGGTGTCCACCAGCCCTGTGACCACTACGGTCTCGGCCGGCGGAACTGTCTCTACTTCGGTGGGCTCCAGTGAATCAACAATCACTATCACATCGGTGTCGACCATCTGCACCAAGTGCATTGCGCCTACAACAGTTCCCTCTGCTGTGGCTCCTGTTACATCGGGTGCCATTTCGTCAACCCTTTCAAGTGTGGACAGGACCACGATTGTCACAATAACTTCTGTTGCTACCAGCCCCGTGACAACCACTATCTCTGCAGGTGGCACTGTATCTACTTCGGTGGGGTCCACTGAGTCGACTGTATTTGTCACCTCGACTTCGACCATCTGCACGAGATGCATTGCTCCCACGCCAGTTCCATCAGGTACTTCACCTATTTCATCTGAGTTGCAGAGCACAACCACTGTAGTCACCTGGGAGACTTTGACAACTTGCCCGGTCACCACGGTCATCACCTCGGGTGGTGTTCCTTTTACCTCGGTTACAAGTACTATCTCGACGGTGACTCTGACCTCGGTTTCCACCATCGCAACATCTGTTGCTGTCAGTGTTCCCTCAGCCCCAGCTTCTGTCGTAACCGGCTCCCCTTCCGTGCCAACAGCCAGTGCTTCCACTGTGACCGTAATTACTTCAACTGGTGCTCCTTCTGGGCCCACAGGTGTCTTGCCCGTCACTTCTCAATCTCAGATTACAACTGGGCCTCCTCCCACCGTGACGTCTCCCATCTCTTCTGGTGGTCCATCGGGCCCTACAGGTGTCTCCCCTGTTTCCTCTGAGCTTGAGAGCACGACGACAGTCGTCACTTGGCAAACATTGACCACCTGCCCAGTGACTACAGTCATTACTTCAAGTGGTATTCCAGTCACTTCGGTCACTAGCACAGTCTCAACCGTGGTTTTGACCTCTGTCTCCACGATCTGCCCCAAATGCTCGGCCACTCCAACCGCTGTGGCTCCTGTCACGTCTGTTGAGAAGGCAACCACTGTGGTGACATGGCAGACTGTAACAACATGTCCCGTCACGACGGTGATCACCTCTGCTGGACAGCCGATTACCTCAGTCTCCAGCACTGTGTCCACAATCACAATGGTCGCGACATCAACCATCGCAAGGACGGTCGTGGTTCCCACCGGAGTTGCCCCCGTTACCGGGGTTTCCTCATCGGCTCCATCTGCCTCGTGTCCCAGCGTGGTTCCCAAGTGTATCAACACCTGGCTCGAACTGGTCCCCAAGTGCACCTCGAACAGCGACACGAGCTGCTACTGCCCCTCGGCAAAATTCACCAAGAAGGTGATTGAATGCATCCAAGCGTGGGGCTCCTCCTCGACAGAAGTTCAAGCCGGCCTCTCATGCTTCACTGGACTCTGTGCAGCCTGGGTGCCCCAGAACCCCGGCATTGTCACAAATATCCCGTCCAGCATTACGCTAGGCCCGACCCCCGCCCCAAGCGGTGTCGCACCCGTCAGCGGTCAAGTCACCCACACTGGAACGAGCGTCAGGCTGACCAGCGGACATGCTGCTGCTCCCTCAGTTCCCTGCACCACAATCACCTACTCCACCTGGACAGTGACCGTCCCGCAAGTCGTATTCACAACTGCCACAGCCAGCTCAAAGACAACGATCGGTCTGATCCCCGGGGGCGGTTCCCCAACATCGACTCGGTTGCCGAACCCCTGGTTCCCATCTTCTTCAGCCTGGATCTCCCGCTCAGGCACCCCCACCCCGACCCCGACCCCGTCACCGAGTTACACACCCTTGTGGTCGAATACCGGTGCAACGCTGGGTGTATCCTGGACGTGGTGGGTGGCTGTTGTTCTGGCTACGATCATCGGCTTGGCCTAGTCCAGTTGGCCAATGTTTCATAGTCATATTTAGTAAAATAGGAGCGCAAACAAATCTGGCAGGTTTCTTTTCCCGTTGAGCTCGGTGGTTATTGTTTTCTTTTTGTTCTCAGTTTGAATCAGGAAGCAGTTTAGTCCAAGACGGTCAATGTACTTTAGCTTCGATTTCTATTCTGCACTCATAATTCACTAGTGTGTAATACTTGATCTACTTCTTCTTGCTATTGATGGACTAAGATGATGTAGTAGACGCCGTGAGAACTGGTGTTTTATAGCCCCACGATGAGGCCAGAGACTCTCGTGTCGTAGATCATGAAAAGGGTTTTGATGCGGTTGGCGGGGGCATTTGCCGGGTCATTCATTCATAGGGAGGTATAAGTTGTGATTGTGGGGGTAGATTGAGGTGTTGATATCGATACCATCAATCATGGGATAGATAGAACCATCAAATGAGAATGCATTGTTGTTGCTGCAGACGGAAAAGAGTCGGCCGAAGATCGGAGATAATTTCGGCCCTTCGTAACTCCGGCGGGCTCGGAATTAACCGACCGTCGCCGACTCCAGAGAGCATGAATGATCCAGTAGTGGAGGCGGTGCACCCTGATCGTTCATCTTCTGGTATGGACCTCAATGGACCATCAACCACCTCAGGGCCGCCGTCGCCTGGCGATCTGATTGCCCAGCAACGCAAAGACGCCATTCAAGCGGCCGCCCAGACCCCCAACGATGCCGGGCTCTTCGCGCAGCTTACCAGCAATCCTTTCTTCACAGCGGTGAGCAATTCAATGTGAACAACGAAAACGGGTTCTTTTTGAGGAGGAGAAAGATACTAATGCTGTGTTTGGTGACACTAGGGATTTGGTCTCGCAGGTCTGGGAGCTGGACTGAGTCTAGCACAAAAAGGACTCCGCCATGGCGCTGCGCTCCTCCGCCGGCGCATGCTCGTCGACGTCGAGATCAGTGTCAAGGATGAATCCTACCCGTGGTTCTTGCACTGGATGACGCTGTACCAAAGCTCCCAACTCAACACGACTCGCGCCGCCGCCGCCACCGCCGCCGCCAGCCGGTCTGGCTTCATGGAATCGATCCTCCGCAAACTGACCCCGGGCACGCGCCATCTGTCCATCCAAACGCAGAAAGTCGAACACACCAACGGCGCCATCCACACGCAGTTCGCCCTCGTCCCGGGTATGGGCCACCACGTGCTGCGGTACAACAACGCCTTCATCTTCGTGAACCGCATGCGCGAGGCCAAGTCGGTGGACCTGAAGACCGGGCAGCCGTGGGAGACCATCACGCTCACGACGCTGTACGCCCATCGCCACGTGTTCGAGGAGATCTTCAAGGAGGCGCACGCGTACGCGGTCCAGGCGCACGAGGGCAAGACGACCATCTACAACAGCTGGGGCACGGAGTGGAAGCCCTTCGGCAAGCCGCGGACCAAGCGCCCGCTGGAGTCGGTGATCCTCGACGAGGGCGTCAAGGAGCGGATCGTGGAGGACGTCAAGGACTTCACCGCGAGCTCGAAGTGGTACCAGGACCGGGGCATCCCCTACCGCCGCGGCTATCTGCTCTACGGGCCGCCCGGCACGGGGAAAAGTTCGTTCATCCAGGCTCTGGCCGGCGAGCTGGACTACGACATCGCCATTCTGAACCTGAGCGAGCGCGGGCTGACCGACGATCGGCTGAACCATCTGCTGACGATCCTGCCGAACCGGACGCTGGTCCTGCTGGAGGACGTCGATGCGGCGTTCTCCAACCGCCGCACCCAGACGGACGAGGACGGGTACCGCGGGGCCAACGTGACGTTCTCCGGGCTGCTGAATGCCTTGGACGGCGTGGCGAGCGCCGAGGAGCGGATCATCTTCCTCACCACCAACCACGTCGAGCGACTGGATGAGGCGCTCGTGAGACCCGGCCGGGTGGACATGACGGTGCGCTTGGGCGAGGTCAGTCGCTATCAGGTCGGCCGTCTCTGGGACCGGTTCTACGGGGAGCTGGAGCAGAGCGCCGTCTACCGCCAGGCGTTCCTCGACCGACTGCAGGAATTGGGGCTCATTGAGGATGCAGATGGGAACAAGGCCGATCTGTCGAGGAGCACCAGTGCGGCTGCCTTACAGGGCCTGTTCCTTTACAATAAGGGCAACATGGAGGGCGCCATTGCTATGGCCGAGGGGTTGATGTTCAGGGTTCATCACAGCGATTAAAGATTTTGTAGATTAGAGTCGAGTCTCATGTAAATTAGATCTAAGCACAGGCTGGTTGATGTATTATAGCCACTCGGCAATTTGTTTTTCATTGTGTTGTGTCTTGGTGGAGCGCGCTTATGGCTTTGCTGATGTCACGCTGCATTGTTGTTGACTCCCCGCCATCTTCATCCATCCTGCTACTACTTCCATTACTTCACACTCCCCCCTCACTCACTATTCACCACTCACTATCTCTGCAACTCTTGGCTCTGAGCCATAGCAGTTAGCACGAATGAATTAACCAGTCATGGCCGTTCACAAGGGCCAGCAGGTGACGATATTGCGCTATCCAGCCTCCTGCAGACGTCTCTAAACCATGCAACCCATGCAACTATTCTTCAGACCACGCGACGGTCAAATCATGCACCACAGCCGATCAATCACCACTTAGACAATAATCTATGCCGGTCAAATCAGATCGCCCATCACCTCTGCTATCACTTTCCGACGCGCCGTGCTAAACAATAGTCACGCCGGTGCCAAAGCGGGGGAGCCTATCACCGCTGCTGCATGGTGGGCCATCTAAGCGCCGACCACGGGCGTTCAGGGATCCCTCGCGTTCTGCGCCCCGGTGACAGCCTGTCATGTCGCAGACCCTTGCCGCCCTTTCGATGGCCGGCTTATCGAAGGTTTGGCAGGCCAAGCTTGCCCCGAGGTCTATGTGTCTGTGCCGTTGCCGTCACCGCTCCGTGACACGGGGGTGGGTGGGCGACTGCGTTGCCTGGCGGGTCGAGTATATCTATGCTCTGTCGCCTATTGTTTTTCTGGGGTTGGTGTCCAATGGACTGACTTGCTGGAATTGTTCAGTGGTGTTGAGCTGTGCATTGACTGACTTGCTGGTATTGTTCAATAGTATTGACGTGTGCAGTGACGATCACTTGCTTCCAGGACGTCTTCTCAGATCATGAGCTCCTTTCAGCTCTTTCCCACATCTCCGGACAGTGGGACCTCTAACAACCCGTTCTTAAAAGGGAAGCGAAGGCAAGCCGGCGGTCGACCGCTGGCTGATGCGATCCCTCTCAAGACCCTCGGTAACAAGGGCACCGTGGCCGAGGGGATGCTTTTCCGCGTGGACCAAAATCCCGAGAGCGTCCCAGCACCCCCAAAGGCCCACGTTCCTCGGCCCTCGCAGTCCTCATCGTTGGGAACACCCCAGGAGCACGATGCACGCCGGAATGCTTCACATGCCAACGCCACTACATCGGAAGACCGGATGGCCGGGCGAGTGGGGTCTCCATCCAGCTCGAAACGCAGCAAAGGAGGGTCCACGCCCATCGCAGAAACAACGCCCAAGTCAGAGTCGCCGGCACCTCCTATGAAGTCCATGTTTCCCCAGTATAACCCACAGCTACCACTCAATCAGCAAGCATACTATCCCCAGGCGTCCGGCCATACTCCTCGGAATTACTCAAGACCAAGCAACATCCTCCTGTCGCCTGCCCCGGAGATTGACCAGGCCCTCGGCCCGAAGACGGTGCCTGCTAGCGTGCTGAATTTCCCTTTGGGGGTGCTGGATACACCTGAGATGCGATACTCTTCCGTGGAGGAGCTGAGGAGTTTGTGGGAAGCGGCCAATGGTCAAAGGCCGCAGAATATGCCGGAGACGTTCAATCTGCGTCTGCAACGGTGAGCATGGAGTGTTTGGGGAATGTTTGAATGGTTGCTGACTCGATGCAGGAGTGGGCCTACATCATTTTCCTTCGGAGAACCCACCGCGCCATTCTATACGATGCAGATTGAACCGAATGACGGGATCTCTCTGACGAGGATCAATCCCTCCAGGTCCAGTAATAGCGTTCCGATAATGACATTCAAAGTGGAGGATCGATCTCGGCGGGAACTGCGCGGAGACAATCTAGTTTCGCTGCTGCTGCCCCGCCTCGCCGCCGTGCTAGCCCTGGATCAGGTTGCGGAGATGGTCAAGGAGCACCAATTGCCCCACCAAGATGCGATCGAGCTGGAGGCCGATGCTCTCAAGCGGGTGGCCGAGCAGGAGTCATGCAAGCTGTTCTGGAATTCGACAAAACATAACTACGAGCTGCACCACCCGGCTCTTTGCAAGCAGCCGCCGGCGTTAGTCGGCGCGGCAGGCATCCCTTTGTCCCCGGTGCGATCAAAATACGCTGGGAGTCTGCAGGTGACCGTGTCCAGTGCCTCTGCCGAGTCCCGGTCCAGTCAGCCCCCGATCATTCTCGTGACCACGCCCGTGTCGGCCAACGCGATCGAGTCGGCCAACACGGCGGCGACGCCCCGGACCTCCACGCTGCCGTTGATGGACTCGGACGAGCCGCTGGCCGCGTTGGACCTGGGGACGATGACCCTCTCGATCTCCGGGGTCTCGACCATCAACACCGTCCCGTCTCTGTACGCGATTGACTCCGTGGTCGCGGCGATGCTGGCCGTCGCCGTGTCGGACGAGGCCACCGGCCCGATCCTGAAGGAACTGGTGCTGTACGGATCCGAGCGGTCCATCACGCCATGGGGACAGGGACAGGGACCGTACGGCACCGGCTACCGCAGCGACCTGGTCACAGCAGCGGCAGAGCGGGACGAGGCGCAGAAGGGCCACCAGCTGTGGTCGACGGTGAAGTCGGCGTTATCGTCATCGGTCTCGGAGAAGAGCGAGCAACCACCGCGGCGCTGGTACCGGTCCTGGGGCCGGGGCCCCCGGGCCCAGAAGAAGAACCGGAAAATCGTGGTGGAGGAATTCGACCTGGAGCGGTACGGGCGGTACGGGCATAGCTCGTCGCGGGAGGGCCAGAAGCTGCCGGGGATCACGCGGGCCATTCTGCGGGTGGTGTTTTTGGGGTTGGAGGTGGTGGTGCAGCTGCTCACTTGGGCGGTCAAGGTGTTTGCGTGGGTGCTGGTGAACGCCACGCGGTGTGTGACCAGCGAGAGGTTTTGATTCTTGCCTTTTGGTTGAATATACTCAGTACAGCTCTGTTGGATAATTCTTTTTAATGACAGGGGATGTGGAGCATTCCATCTTGCCACTTCAACTTCCCGTTCCAACTCCCGTTCCAATTTGTGTCTATTATTGCCTCTCGGTCGCCTCTTTTTAGGGATGCGTAGATGCTTACACTGATTCCCATTCGCCCCTAGCCAGTGACATGCATACATCCAGATAGATGCACACCCGGGATGTGACACTACAAACTTTGGCGAGACATTCGCCGGCCGCATACCTTACTCGATCGAGACGCTCCCCTACATTCCGCTCTGCGACGTCGGACCGCGCCACCTTTGGGGATTGGTGCTGGAATCTGGAATCCAGGGGATGGCGATGCAAAGTCGATCGGGATGGGAGGGTAGCATTGCATGTATGTATGTATGTATGTATGTATGGGGGCAGGACTAAGTGCTGACCACTTGTATATAGGCGGACGCAACACCATAGACCCTGCCATCAAGCTCCCTCCAGGATATCATCTTCATCATCCAGAGACTGTAGTGCTGTGTGCTGTACACACACGAACAAGATGCGCGCAGCAATTCTTATCCTCTCGACCATCACCCTCGCCACGGCTACTACCAACAAAGATCTGGGGTATCTCCGCTGCGCCGTACGCATCCCCCCCCCCTCTTCCTTGACTTTGTCCTGACATCTTGGACCATGGGATATCGAATACTAATGAATAAGAGAGGGTGTAGTCTTCCATAGCCCGGTACTACCAGACTCCTCAATCCCAATCCCAGTCCCAGTCCCAGTCCCAGTCCCAGTCCCAGTCCCAGTCCCAGTCCCAGTCCCAACCCGAAGCCCAATGCACCTCCCCCTCCGCCCTGGATTGCTTCTGTAATGCCCCGTTCGATCCCTCGGCGCTGGACCAGGCGACCCTGGATGAGTGTGCTGGTGAGGGTGTTGGTACGCCCCCCCCCCCGGCCCCCCCTGCCCCTAGCGCTAGATCTATTGTTTGAGGTGCGCGTGTGCTAACGGTCTAGAACCCGAAAACATCCCCGCGTATATCTGCGACGACGCGAACGTTCCCGTCTCGCCGCGGAAGGGCAGTGTGCCGATGGTGAGGATTGGGGTTGTTGAGGAGGAGGATGCTGCTGCTGCTGCCGAGACCCCCGCTCCGCTGAGAGGGAGTTTGCCCATGGTCCGGGTGGGCGATTCGCTGGGGACTGAGGATGCAGGTGCGAGTGGGGGTGTGAGTGCCAGTGCCAGTGCCAGTGCCAGTTCTATTGCCAGCGCTAGCGCCAGCGTCCTTGGTGGATCGCATCGAGGTAGTCAGCCCATGGTGCGCGTGGGGGATCTGCAAGCTAGTAGCTCTGCAGCTGCAACTTCAAGCAGTCTAGCTACGCCCACCGCAATCGCTAATGCTAATGCTGAAGCTGAAGCTGAAGCAGATGTGGACGCTGTCCCGCGCCGAGCAAGTCGGCCCATGGTGCGGCTGGGCGGAGAGACCACGATCACGACCATGAACCAGCCTCTCGCACAGGCAGATACAAACCCCCACGCCCAAGGACAAGCACAGACACAGGCATCAGAAGCAGAGAACCTGAAAGCTAGAGCCTACAGCCCCAACTTGCACCCGGACCCCCTTCTCCTCCCGGAGGACGTCCTCCCTCTTCCTTCTGATGATTCTGTTCTCGGCACTGCAGCAGCAGCGCAAGCACCAGGCCAAGAAGAGAAGAACGTCCCCCTCCCGCTGGAGTCGGTGGTCATTCCAGATGGGAATGCCAATCCAGATGTTGCGGCTGCTCCTAGCCCCTATACCAACTTCAACACCCATACCCAAATGGAAACCCAATCCCAACCCCAAGCTCCGCAGCAGCAGCAGCAGCAACAAGAAATCGAGGTCCTCGCCTCGGAACTAACCTCCTGCGCGTGCTCTGCTACTGCTACTGCTACTTCTGGTGCTGATGCTGGTGCGGCTGGCACCCCCGCCAGCGCTACAGCGGTCCATGCTGCTGCTGCTGCTGCTGCAACCTTCCAAACAAGCGCAACCACACCCCCCACCCCCACCTCCTCCCACTCAAGCTCAACCTCAAAAACCACCCCCACAACGCTAGCAAGCGCAAGCAGCCTCCCCGTCCCGACGATCACCTCCTCGTCCGTGAAGCTCGTGACCGTGAACCCGACGGCCACGGCCACCGCGACGGATGTTCGGGGGTCGAGTGCTTTCCCTTCGGGCAAGGGGCAGCAGGCTCCCGGGGCAGGGGAGCCGAATGCCGGGTTGTTTCAGGGGGGTGCGGGGGCCTTGCAGAGGCGTGGCTGGGGGGTTCGGGGGGTGGGTTGTTTGGTTGGGGCGGTGGTGCTTCTTCTGTGATGTACTTTTCATGAAATGATGGGAGTGGTGATGTGTGCGTTTGGGTCATGATTCTTTTCTAGGTGGATGGATACTGATGCTGGCGTTTGTTTTTGGACTGTGGTCTTTCGATTGGAAAACAGATTGGCTAAAGGCCGAAAAGAAGGGTTTGATTTTATTCTTGGATATCGAGGGGGAAAGATTGTGCAGGAAGAAATTATGGGGATTGGGATTAGGATCGGGACTGGGTTCGGGTGGATTTGGATCATGTGTGTATGACTTGACTTGGTTTGGTTTGACTTGACTTGGTTGCTTATGAGGAATGAAAATGAGATTATCTTTGATTGAATCATGACAACACTTTAACAGTGTCTTGACAGTACATTAGCATTATTATTAAATTAGCAGTGCCTCTGGCGGTTCGAGGATACACTATAGTACCACGTGCAGTCTAACCACCACCAAGTCTACTAGACAAACAACAACCAACCCTGAAGCCTCCCGGCCCTACGCATGAATCGCCTGCTGCACCCGCGGATACAACTGCACCAACCGCTGATACAGATCCGGATGCTGCTCGATCATGACCTGGGGATCCCACGCCATGGCGGCAAAGATGGTCTCGATGCCGCTGCTCATCGGCGTCATGAAGATCTGGCAGATCTGCAGCCCGATCACAAACGCAAACGCCATGATCACCGCCGTGAAGTCCCCGTCCTGGTTGTAGGCCGGGTGGGTGTACCGCAGATACAGGTAGGCGAGGAGGGCGCACACGTAGCTCACGAAGACCGACCCCATGGTCAGCACGGGCCCGACCAGACAGTCGGCGGCCAGGGCGTCGACGCCGCGGTCCTTCATCATGGTCCAGGTGTCGCGCGCCGCGGGGAGGTACGCCTTGCCGTACAGCGCGATGTGGCAGAAGGCGTAGCGGTTGAAGAAGGTGACCAGCCAGTCCAGCAAGCTGATAAAACACCCGAGGACCCAGAAGGCCACGCTGCCGACGAGACTGCCCTGCGCCGCCTCGTGCCGCTGCGCCACGCTGCACGCCTGCCGCAGCATGTTGATCAGCGCGATGATCAAGCTCCCGAAGCTGATGCTGCCGAACGAGTAGGTCGTCGCCCGCCGCAGCGCGCCCCGCGTCGCGCCCGCCGGCATCCCCTGCGCCGTGCCGCTGCAGAAGTACCACGACCCGTACACCCCCGCGATCGTCGTGTGCACCGTGTTCTTCAGCCACTCGCTGAACCAGTACATCGCGAACGTCACGTACACGACCAAGCCGATCACCCGCGCGCGACTGCACCCGCCCCCTCCGTCGCGACACGCAGGGTTCACCCCGTCCCCGTTCCCGCCGGGCTCATACGCGACGTAAATCGACACGAGGGTCACCGAGAACCACGCCCCGAACGCCACCGCCACCAGCCCGCCCACTGTGCTCACCAGGAACATGTGCCCGTAGCGCCGCGACACGTCGATGGACGTCTGCATCATGAACGCCGTGAACGGGATCCGCGGGATCCAGCTGATGAAGCACACGATCGCGAACACCCCGAAGATCAGAAACACAATGCCCCCGCCCCATTGGTGCTGCGTCAGGTAGTAGATCGCCGTCGCCAGCGCGAACACGATATTCAGGATCCCCGTCACCCAAATGAAGAGCTTGGGGAATGTGCGCACCCCGACCCAGTACGCGTACGACAGCACCAGCGCCACCGCCAGCACGAATACCAGTAGGATCACCGTGTTCGTGTTCAGCGAGAAGTCGTTCGCCGCGCCGTAGATGCCCCCGCCGTTCAGGGTGTGGTATTTGCTGTACCGGTAGATGACGACGCCGGAGACGGCGGCGTAGCCTAGGAAGACGGCGATGAGCTGGGGTTGCTGTTAGTGGTACGTTAAGAGGGGGAACAGGGGCAGGGGAAGGCGGGGGGGGAGGCACCAGAAGACCAGCCCATAGATCGTTCCATTTCGGTTTCTCGACCTTGAAGGCATCGTCGAAGCCGTAGACGGCCTGGTTGTAGGTTGGGGGTGGTTCTTGTGGTGGCTGAGGTGGTTTGGGCTCCGGGCCGCGGTAGTCTCCTCCGTTGGGGGCAGGAGGGTAGCCATTGTTGTAATACTGTTGCTGTTGCTGCTGCTGCTGCTGAGACGGAGGGCCGTCAAAGCGCTGGTCGGTGTTGTAATAGCTGGCTGCTTGACCGCTCATGGTTGCCGCATGCTGTGGCTGTGTAGGCGGGAGAAAGGAATGAAGAGGTCGATCTATATACTGTGTAAAACCGACGAGAACCAGTAAAAGTCTGGTGGGTAATCAAGATAGCATGCAAGAGGTAGTCAACATGAGGAAGAAATGGAATGAAGTGAAAAGGGGCAGCAGATCAAGTGAAGTGAAGTCAGTGAAGACGCATGCGGCGCTGGCCGAAGGTTACACCCGCACAACAGAGCGCGTCATCGTGAGAGAATCGATCGACTTTGATCGTCTCCCGCCGAGTCCGCCGAGCTCGTCCATGGATCGCTCAACCCAATCTACTCCAGTACTCCATCCATCTCAGATCACAGCGTCATCAAAACAAATGAAACATTAATTGCCACTCGCGGCGTCCTGTCTATGTACACCAACTTGTCTGCCTGCCGGTCCTTCATTAAGTATTAGCAGTGTAACAGCAATTAGTTATTCAACCAACCAACAGAAAAGCAAACAAGTGACGTCTGCATCAAAAACAGCCGAAGAGTGTAGAATCAAGCTAATCTGGGTATCAATAAATACATAGCATGCCCGCCTGGGCAACCTCAACGCCCTCCCTCCCCCTTTTTCATCGAAAGCCATGGTGACGCTTCATGTGCCGCCAGGAATCCGCGATACTGCGCTCGATCCCATGAGTCGGCGTTCGCGATCGTCCATGCGCCCAGTCGTCCGTCGCCGCCTGGAGCTGGCCCATGTTCATCGCGCGCGACCGACGCATGTTCTCTTGGCGCACTGCCGTCCGGCGTGCCGCGCGTAATTCCTCGATCCGCCCTTGTCCGACCCGATGTCGCCGGACAAAGCAATCATCGATTAACGAATTCGCATCCAACAGCCGCTTCGGGACCGTCTGCACCACCTGGAACACCTCCATCGGGTCCGACACCCCCATGATATCCTGCTCGCACGACTTGAAAATCGCCAACGACACCCGGAAAAACGTCTTCGACCCTTCGTAAAAGAACACATCCCAGACCCGGAGCGTGGTCTCCAGCGGCAGGGTGCCGATAAAGACGGACATGAGCCAGTTGGTCAGCCCCAGGGTGATGTCGGGCAGACGCGAGCTGACCGTGAGGGCTGGCACCTTCCCGCTCCCCGCCCCAGGTCCACTCCCGGCGATCTTGTTGTAGATGTTGGGCGCCGATTCTTTCAGCAGCACCATCAGAATCCATAGGTCGATATTGGCGCCCTCGAGACTGATTTCATGCGTGCTGGGGAGATAGACGGAACTGATGATGTGCAGCATCCAGAACGTCTTCTCTTCCGGAAGAAACAGAAGCAGCATTCCGGTGATGAAGTTCAACGACTGGGTGTAGCCAATCTGCGGGTTGTGAAGAGCAAAAGCATACAGGACGCGCCGCAGAGACTGGATCATTTCCGTTTCAACCGTGACAGACCCGTGTCTCGGGTTGCTGCTACCAGAGCTAGCGGCCGAGTCAACGTTCTCCGGCTTGAAGTGGATATTGTCCGGGAAGGTTCGATGCAGATCGCGTTCGATGTGTTCCTTGTCGTCATTGCTAGGCGACTCCATGGACTGTCGAACCAGCTGGTCATAGAGGCCAGGGTTCCGATTCAGATGCTCGTAGCCTCCCGCATAGAAAAACCATGCTGCACCGCGGTACTCGGATGGGATGCCCTTGCGCACAAACCGTTTGACCTTGTTCGATTTGGGGGGAAACGTCGTCGGTTCGTTGATGGGAAGCCGATTCTCCCGAAGCAGCTCCACCCATTTGATTCTTCGCTGAGAAGTGTAATCCTTGTACTGGGCATGCCATGCTTCATACTGGACGAGGGTAACGTGGTGGGTTGCCTTGCGGAAGCCATAACAGTCGCGGGCCCCATTGCCGGGTAGTAACGGCGGCGGCACGATGCCAGGAATGATGACTGTGGTCTCCGGCTCTCGTGCAACAGGCGGATCCAAAAACTTGCGTTCCGAAGGGGGGCTCGGCGACTGGTCGTGGGAAGCTGTCTCGCCCAAGAATTCTTCATCCGGTGAGCTCCTTCTGTGAGCCTCTAACTCGGGAAAGGGCGGAACAGGCGGAACATCTTCTGTGGGTTCCAGTTCAGGAGAATGCTCATCCGAGCTATGACAATCATCGAGGGTGATCTCCGTGGGTGGACGTGGGCTCAATGGTCGAGCCTTGCTCTCATCGTAGAACCCTGAAGAATCATACACCCCGGGCGATCCTGGCTCTTCGGTGACATCGCTGAAGCCATCCAGGTACATTGAAATTGCATCTTCCACACTCATGCCACCCTCCTTGTCATAGGAGCCATCGGGTGTATCGGGCGACAGATCGGTAATAGAGCTACTTTTGGTCAGGACACTGCTCCGCTCGGTTCCGCTGGCATGTTCAATGCTCGACCGCGAGGTCATGGCCGAGTTCACGCTGGATCGGAGAGCATCTTGCCCGCGCATCTCGGCGTATGTCCCAGGCGGGATGATTCGGGGCAATCTAAGGGCGGCGGATTCGTCTGGCAGGCGTTCTCGATTTCGATGAGGGTGCAGCTGCGGACGCATGCTATGTAGTTTCGACGTAGAATTGGACGTGCGCAACGCTGGCGGAGCAGGCGGGGACTTCCGGTAAGGTGGACGATCAACCTCCCCTTCTCGGGGGGCGGCCCTGGACCGAACAGGCGGCTGCAGAGGAAATGTGGGGGAGCGGTAGGCCTGTTGGCGAATGACAAAGTCGTCATCCTCCACAGGCAAGGGAGAGACGGAGCGCCATGAGGGATCGGACGGCGGTGGGATTGGTGGGCGAATCCGGGGGGAACGAGGCACAGGAGGAGGAGGGTGGTGAGGGGAAAAGGGCGGCCGAGGGCCGTCCGCCGTCGCCGGTCGTGGGAAGGGAGGATTCAATCTCAGAGGATCCAGGCGGGGTGGGTTCGGGATTCTGCGCCGGCTAGGGATATCATGCGCGCCAGCAGGGGGCGGCGGATAACGAAAGTCTGCATTTCCTGTGACCATGGCCACGAGCTGTTGAACCCCAGTTCCCGCTGGACATTTGTCGACAACACTGAGCGATGATCGGAAGGCGAACGCAGGTGAATCGACAATTTCCAATTACCGATTCCGATGTTGACAGAGGTGGACAGAGGTGGACAGAAGAGACCAGATTGAAATGATAGGAAACGAAGGGAAGTTGAAGTAGAAATAGACGCCTATTGAGACTAGGGGGGCGGATAGTGACAGCGATAAACGAGCGAAGAGTAGTCGAGTAAGTGCGCTGGCTTGTCAGGCGCGTAGATGAAACGAGCGAAGAGAAGCGTGTGTAAGAGTAAGTAAAGTAACGGTCATGCCTCGTTCAGCCCAGAAGGAAACAATCCATCCGCACAGTCTCACGATCCTACCAGAGGGTCAATCCGAGACTCCATCCCATGACAGATCAACTCGAAAAGAGGAAAAGGGAAGAGGAAGAAGGGGAGTGGGGGGGAAGGCGAGGAAATGGGAGGGATAAAAGAGGTCACGGTGTGGTGAGAATGGCCGAAGAGAGAGAGCGAGAGAACAGAGAACGAAACAACGAACCGAAAGGGAAAAGGGGAAAAAAAAAAGACGGCGGAGCTGGATCGAGGCTAGCGCAGGTCTCGAATGGGAAGAAAGACCCTGTCGGGCTTAGCCTTGTAAGAAGTTATACTGAGCAGTTACCGTTGATGTATTTTATTTTAGCTTCTCAACCTCGTTAATCCGGTTCTTTTCGTCCTTTTCTTGGGCATGGGTTTCAGACTGACGCCAGGATGAGATCAGTCCAACTAACTACACTTGGGGTTTGATATTGATTACGTTGATTGCACTGGGTTGCTGCTGCACAAGGGGTTGCACCAAAGACTAGAAACACCAACCTAGAAAACCCCCTTCAGTGGACTGATCAGTCGACAATGGATAGCCTACTGCCGACAAACAATCTATCATATCATATCAATTGCCCCTGCTGACAGGTCACTCAGTCACAGACTGACCTGCAGCTGCTGCAGGCAGGCTGCATGGTTAGTGTGCACTGCCGCGCCCCCGGAGAAAGTTAGGAAGGATCCGACCCGATTACAGATCCGATGCTAACAATCTCAACGGTGTTGGTTGTTCTGTCATGGACAGACAGATCTGATGATGCCCCCCAAAACAGAAACCGGTTTTGTTTGATGACCTCTGATGACCTCTGATGACCTCTTTGGCTGCTGGCAGATGAAGAAACTGGCAACATTACCGAAATTACCGTTGGTATGGTTCGTACCCGGTGGAGACGCCTTGGTTTCAGTCAGACTCCGGCCGTCTCCCCTTTGCGCCCACCCACTCGCGGAAGCTTCAAAGTTCGCCGTGGCTCGCCCAGCCTGCCGTCTGTCGACCGCAGGAACTGACGGGTCACTCCCGGAGTGGCTTTGGCTTTGGCTTTGGCTTTGGACTTTTGTTCATTGACTTAAAAAGAGGTCATCTGCGGAAATGAAGATGAGCCTCTAGCGAGAATACTTGATAAGTCTGCAGTGCATCTTGCACCATCCTACCATGGCATCGGACCCTTCGGAGTATCTTAAGGGATTCAGGTGATTGATGCGACATTCTATTGTTCCTGAGTCAGGTGGGGGCGCGTCAGCAATTGGACGATCGTCCCGTGATGAAATCTCCACTTGCGGCCGTACCTGAGCCTGAGGAGCCTGAGGTTGACGCCCTTCCTACCTAAGGCAGGACTAGTTCCGCTTCAGGGATTCTAGTCGCCAAGTCAGAACGAACCAAGAACAAGATGAACTCATCAAGAACTTCCTCGCCGGGCCCGCTTTCCTCCCATTGACGTTATCAACGGCAGGCCACAGGTGTCTTCTTCAATAACCTTGAAAAGAAAACGCCAAAACTGTCCCGCTTGAGTCTTGACTTCATCTCCACTTGTGCCCGGCTAATAACCGTTCCATGGATCACTGGCCTCGCTTCCCGTTCGTTTATTCAACGAGCCTCCATCTCTACTGTTTCTATAAGTAAAAGCCCCGAGATGCTTCGGCCTAGACCCTTGCCTGAAGAATTTTCTGCATTACTACCAGCAGCACCACTCCGAATTGAGCAGCAGATGGCGTCAAAGTAGCCTCACTGTTGCCCGTCCCAGGGACAAGGCTACTGTCAACCACGAAAGGCGCCGACACGTTCACGGCCACCATCCACCGCGCGGTTATTGATCCCTGATCCCACTAATCATGGCAATAGTGTCAAGCCCTGGCGCCCGCCGAATCCGGACAATGCGGCCATATGGTGGGTCCTGGCGATGACGAACGTGTCGGCCGTCCATTTAAATATAGTCGAGCCCGATCCCTCATCTCGCTGGCGCCGAGCTGGGCGCCTAATCCGATTTGGTGTCCATTAGGACAATCTCGTTGCCCGGATTAATTAAGATTAGCATTCAATCTCCGGGCAACATCGATTTCCCCGGGCCACCGACCACGTTTTTAGCACTGCGTCATCGTTCGTGACGACTTGCAGGCCACCGGCAACTTCTCAGCCCAGCTCAATTGCAGTCGAGAATCTATCCGAATGTATCGTCAAGCGCGCAATGACCACCATGCAACATTGGCTCAGCCATGCAACCTGAAGATCTAGCGGTAACTTCGGTTATTGCTCAGTCTGCAAACTGAGGGCACCACGATACTCTGATGCGCATTGACGAACAGAGACAGTGTCCAAGGCTGTGCACTACATTGCCATTTCCCAACAAGCGCCCTTGCTACGAAGCGAGCCCTCAACCCCAGGCCTGTGCTTTCTCCGCCTCAATCGACCCCCAGCATCTGCTGCCTCGCTCATATTCATGTTTCAGGCCTGCTGCATCATGCACATGGAGGCTTGGAATGGTTAGTCTAACATCATCTTGATAAGTGACAGAAGAGGAGTGTCCTGTGCCTAGTATCCTGGCGCTACTAACCTGGAAAGGGGGCTTGAAGATTAGTCTCCGATCTTGAAGTTAATTTACCGTAATCATCGCCGGGAGACGACATTAACCAGATTTCGTGCAGGGGTTTGATGCCCACGAACAAGACAGTACAAGTTTTGATTGGAGAAGTTTGGCTGGACCACGGTGGGATTGACTGGGTTAAGATAGGGTCAGACGCATGGTTGCTTTGTACTGCTTTGAGCGACCATCTGTGCGCTGCCTATCGTGATGCCTGCATCAGCGGCTTTAGCTTCAAGGACAATCGAGCTCATCTGTGGTATTGCTAGACTGACTGAGAGGATATGACTGAAAGATTCTCAGTGTGCACGCCGATTTGTCTGATACTCCATTTTCGGTGATTATGCTTCTATAGAAACGGGTAGGAGAGTAGCTACTTGGCCTGGTTGTTAGCCTTCCGTAAACGCCTATCCTCAGTATGGGTCCTGACGGAATCAACTGGTCAGTAGCCTATAGAGGATTGCGTAATACGTCCAGAGCCTTGAACTAATCTTGCCACATCCGGATAGAAAGCATCTAGTAGAGCTCAAAACACAACCCACCAGAATCTTGCTCGTCACAAGCCAAGCAACCTCAGACACCAGGTATACCACGTAACCGACCAAATCAACCCCAGGCAAGCATCTATTGAACCACAACAATGCAACCGACAATACAAACACATGAACGCAAACAAACCGCAACAACCCGCGCGTTATAAGAACGAAGCCCCATCCTAACCCCCAACCCCCGACAGCGAGCAAAAAAAAAGAAAACAAATGTTTATATTAAAAGTAATCTACCACCGATCCACACATATCGACAAAGTATGTACACCAACCCGCCCTACCCCCGCACAGCATACTTCCGCGTCCACTCGCGCGCGACCTCCTCGTACCGGGCGAAATCCCCCTTGAACTGCTCGGCGATGCGGCCCTCGACAGCGTCGTCCGGCATGGGCTCGGCCAGCAGCTGGCGCGCGAACTGCAGCACGGCCGCCAGGCGCGAGCTGGGCTTCCACTCGTCCGCCCGCAGCATCCCCAGGCACATGCTCCCCTTGTCGTCGTTGGTGACGTTGGGGTGGTAGATTTTCGTCCGGAAGGAGACCGTCGGCGGCTTGAAGGGGTATTCGGTTGGGAGGGTGAGGGTGAGGTGGAAGGTTCCGTTCTGGTGACAAGGTAGGGGGGGTTAGTGGGGGGGTTTTTTTTGGGAGGGGGTAGGGTATGGTCAGGGTTGGGGCCTGCTTACCTGGTAAGGCGAGTTCTCGGGTCCCTCCATGTAGACGTTCCAGATGTAGAGGTTGGATTCGTCGGCTAGCTTGACGGTTATGCCTTCGGGGGCGGATTCGGTGAGTTCGGCGAGTTCCTTTTGGATTGTTAGTGGGGGTCTAAGGGTGAGAGGGTATGGAGGATGGGATGCGCAGTGCAGTGTTTACCTTGGCTATCCGCTTTTGGCTGCCCATCTTGATTGCAGTGTTGGGTGTGTGTGTGGTGGGGAGAGAGAGGTAAAGCGGGGTTGTGAGGTGGAAGAGTCGGTCGAGAGATTGATGGCTGTTGATGAGCGGGTGGATGGAGTCTAATTCTGATGCAGTTGCAGAACGAGCGATGGTTGAAGATAACAGCAGAGACAAATGGAGGCTGGCCTGGTTGGTTCGATGGGATCTGGAGCTGGAGCTGGAGCTGGAGCTGGAGCTGGACTGGAACTGGAACCCAAAGCAGCTCCTTTCCTGAGATGGCGGGGCGGGGCAGGCGGGGCGGAAGATCCGCCGGAGTGGAAGACGTCAGTCATTTCAGTCAGCTACAACGAACTCCAAACACAAGTCTACCCAACACTGCAAGTCTACTCTCGCACCATGCAACTCTGGAATCTAAACACTTGTATCATTATAGTCTCTGTGCTAAACAAGAACGAAATGCGTTAAGACAACCCAGCCCTCACCCCCAATCTACACAGCAACGTGCCCTTCCTTGGAGCTGGTGTTGTGATCAAAATTCCTGGCTGCCTCGTCCTCCCAGAACCTCTTCTGTCTTCCTCCATTCTTGCACAACCCAACCAAGTCAAAAGGATCAAAGAGGGTGAGGAGAAATGGGCGATTGTCACAATACCCCGGTCCTTCCAGCTCAGTAACCCCATCCCTCGCAAGGTAGGTCTTGTTGGAGCGTGGAAGCCACCGCATCGGATGGAAGATGTTCAGCATCGCGGTGTTAACATACATCACAGTCGCCTCAAACACCCAGAAGAACCACTCGTCCTTGAGAACAGGACTGATGTCCTTGATGTCGGACACGTTCAGGCTGGCCGCAGTGAAGTACTCCACCGTCCGATAGATCGTCCGCACGGTGATCAGCCCGCAGCTGCAGTACAACACACATAAGGCGTGCTTCAATTTGCGATTCAAGACCCCACCGCGCCGACAGTTATAGTGGAACCTCAAGGCCAGAGCAAGGAACCCTGCCATCAGCACGAGCTGCAAGATCAGGGACGCCTTGAGCAGCCCTTTGCCGATGTCTTGCTTGCGCTGTGGGTTCTCGACGTTGGCCACCAGCGCACCACCGTTCCCAGTGAGCACCTCGATGACCATGCTCATCGCAAGAAATGTTGTGAAGACCCGTCCCGGATGGATTGGTGAGTGGTAGGGGATGTAGTAAAGGATTCGCCCGAGGATCAGGTAGTTGGCTGCTTCGTAGACCGGTCTCGAGATCTGTTAGTCGTAGGTCTTCTTCGGCGAGAGCGCTACTTACGGGCCAGCGAGTAGAAGAACCGTGCTGACAATGTAGATCACCAGGTTATCCCAGTGACCCCAGGCGGCAACAGCCCGTAACACAAAGCCGCCTGTGAAGAGCAGTGCCGACCAGGGCAAGATCCCGGTCACTTTCCAGGACTTATACTTTCTGCAGTCGTCGTCAGTAGCGGGAAAGGATGAGGGTCTCCATGGGAGCTGCATACATGCATTGATAGATGTGCCAGATTCCAGAGATAGTGAACCAGATGGCGAAAGTGATAGGAGCACCCTTGTTGGGAGCATAATACCAGTAGCTATCCTCCTCTGTTGGACGTTAGTACTGGATCTCACATTCAGGCCTGGACTAAGGTGCGTACGGTACGGCGATCTTCTGTCCAGCATCACGGTATAGTAGGTAAAGAAAAAGCCAAATCAAATTAGACGACGACGACGACGATGACGACTATTGCTAAGATGCTTCGATGATGAGTGAAGCGTAGTTGCTAAACAATTAAATGCTCTTGCTATGTCCCGGTCCACGAAATATATATGTTCAGCGTGTGGCAGAGCCCCATTAGCGAAAACGAGCAACCTCTATTCAGTAATCAGCCACGGCCCTATGGGAGGCTCCAGATGTGCCTCTGACTTAAACATCCAACCTTAAAGGATCAGTTTGAGGGCTGAGCTGTAGAGTTGTTGCCCGATCGTCAACTGAGTTGATCATTCATGGGATAAGCCCCAAGTCTCCCTCCATGGTGCACACCAGCGGTCCTGAATGGCCAGGAGCATCATGCTTTCTCCAAGTCCTCCCCTGGTTTGAATTTAGCCTTGTTGGATCCAGGTCTTTTGTCTCTGGTGATGATGATGGATGGACCCTGAGACCCTGAGACCCATCCTCGAGACTTGGCTTGGCATCCTCGCCGACAGCAAGCGAATACGAGCAAGGCTGTGCTCGTTGTGATTGGCTCCACGAAGTCAGCCTCGCAGGGACTGTCATTGCTAGTGCATGGTGGCTGTGAAGGTTGACTCAAGGCTGACATTAACTAGAGAGAGCTCCGTGGGGTATCGATAAAAGATATTGGAAGACTGAGTACGGAGTAATCTACGGAGTATACCTAGTAAACATGATGGTGGCTAAACCCCAGATTTTCCCCATGCGGAAGGCGTTGCCGGGACGACGAAAATATCCCGATTCGGATAAGACCCATCAACACTGGGCACGGCGCCTCTCCTCCATGCTAACGTGACCCTCTCCAATCGTCATCTACCCAACTCTCGTGCACTGCATCTAGACCCTTAGTTTGGATGTGAGCAGGCGTGTACTAACCACCAGCAGCAAACATGGCTTCGACAAATTCGCCCCCCACCTCCCTGTTCCAGGTGTACCTTCGCCTGCGGCCTCCTATGTCCCAGCACGAAGAGGAACAGGCTGAGCGTTGTTTGACCATCGAGACTCCAGAGCAGGTATACACCACTGAAAACAACCACCAAGATGCCCCGCCTACACATATCACTTTACACCCTCCCAGCGACTCCCGGAAGCGCGCCGTCGAGAAGTTCGGGTTTACACAAGTCTTCGACGAGTCCGCCTCTCAGCTGGGCATCTTCGAGGGCACGGGACTGGAGAACTTGATAAAAGGTGTTTTGTCGGAAGGACGCGATGGCCTGGTCGCGACGCTGGGCGTCACGGGTAGTGGAAAGGTCTGCTAGTCTAGCCGTGGTTGTAGGCGGTAATGCTAATGAGAATCCGCAGAGTCATACCATTCTGGGCTCCAAGACGCAGCGAGGTATCACCCAGATGAGCTTGGATGTGATCTTCCGGTCCCTCGCTTCGACGATCAGACCCCACGACAACTTTATCAGCCCCCTTCTCTTGTCCTCTGTCGCCGCCGCCGATGCCTCTGAAGCCCAGATCTTTAGTGCGCAGACGTTCCTCGAAGCTGTATACGGTGAATCGGTCGATCGTAGCAGGAGTCCCAGAGCTCAGACCCCAATGAGTGCCGGACGAGCGCAAACCCCCATGGCGGTACGGAGCCCTTTCCCCCAGCCTATATTGCAACCCACCCCAAGGTCTCGAGTGCTGGTCCCTACAAGCTGTCAATTGCCCGCTGCGTATGGTCCGCGGATAAACTCAAAGCCAGCCCTTGGCGGTTCCCCCACCCCTGGTCTGCCGAATCCCCTCTTCATTCGGTACGGTAGCAAGACGCCGGATCGGAAGCAGCTAGGATCCCATTTGACAACCCCACACGGACGTTGGAATCGCTACAAAACATGTTGTGCTAACTCACCCTCTCTTGCTTCAAAGGAACCCATGCCAGCGCTCAGCTTTCCCCGTCGTCAAATGCCCTTGCGCGCTGGCGCCCTCCCCCGATCGCCCGACGTGAGCCATCTTACGATGGAGCTGAGCCCACACTCGGAATACGTGGTTCTGGTCTCGATGTATGAAGTGTACAACGATCGTATCTTTGACCTTCTTTCACCGGCTATCGTCCCTGGTCAAGGAAGCACAATGACTCGCCCGGGAGGTGGGCAGAAGGACCGCCGCAGACCGCTATTCTTCAAGTCGACGGAGGGATCGCCTGACAGGAAGGTCGTTGCGGGCCTGCGTAAGATTGCATGCTGCACTTACGAAGAAGCTTTGTCGGTTTTGGAGGTTGGACTTACTGAGCGAAAGGTTGCAGGCACCGGGGCCAATAGCGTCAGTTCCCGCAGTCATGGGTTCTTCTGTCTGGAGGTCAAAAGACGAATGCGCAACAAGAGAACCGGCGAAGAGACATGGATGGGAAATACACTCACAGTGGCCGATTTAGCCGGTATGTTCAGCTCAGCCTCTGCCTCGACATACCAAATGTGCTAATCAAGCATCAGGGTCTGAGCGCGCAAGAACTGCGAAGACGGCAGGATCTACCCTTGCGGAGGCAGGCAAGATTAACGAGAGCTTGATGTACCTCGGACAATGTCTACAGATGCAAAGCGATATTCAGGAAGGCAACAAGGTATGCCACACGAAGAAGCTCTTCTCTTGTCTTCGCCAGGTTTTCTGACTCAAAAAGGCGACTATGGTCCCATTTAGGCAGTGCAAGCTCACAGAGCTGCTCTTTTCGAACTCTTTCCCGTCGCCTGGTCAGGCTTTTGGCCAGTTCCGCCACCCGCAGAAAGCCATCATGATTGTGACGGCTAACCCATGGGGAGACTACAATGCCACTTCGCAAATACTCCGCTACTCCGCTTTGGCACGCGAAGTTGCTGTGCCCCGAGCCCCGTCGGCCACAGAGTCCATCTTGTCCAGCACTCTCGAATCTCGTCATGGCTCTATTGGCGGACGTGAGTCGACGAATTCAGTCGCGGCCGAAGAATTGGAGAAGGCAGCCGCTGAGATCGAGCGACTCCGAGCCGAGAATGAGAACCTTTCAGTGAGACTCGCCGAGGAAGAGATCATGAGAACGGACATGGCCATGAGATTGAAAGCAAGCGAAGATATGTGTCTCACCATCGAGCAAGACGTGCGTGAGGAATGTTGGAACGAGATGGACGAGAGGATGGAAGAAGAGAGACGCCGGTGGCAGAACGCTTGGGACGAGCAGGTTAGCCTCCTCTTCTGCGAACTGTGCGATTTTGACTCTAACTTCAAGCAGACTGGCCATAACGAAGAGCACTTGGATAAGAAGCTTGAGTTGTTTTCGCGGGGCTTCCAGAGTAAGTACCTGCCTCTTCTTGCTCGTGCTCTCCTGCAAAATCGA